CTTGAAGTACATGTATCCACCAACTGAATACGGATTGTCCAATAACAGATCATATGCACATATCCGCGCTGTATAATATTTATTTTCACGTGCCTATCCGTTTCTACTTACATGCGTGAATACTCATATGAAGTAAGATGTTTTTTATATATAAATATTTGTAGCTTATACAATTTTTATAGCGTTGATATAATATATTTCAATTGTTAAAGATATCAGATTGAATACTAGGTTAATAATATACCGGATACTGTTTTATATGACCTTAAACCAGCTTACCTTGGTAAACGCTAGGCAACCTTAATAATATGCAAGTACCTAGACTTGGACAGAGGCAGGTCTAATACGGACAAGCACACGTATTAGATACTTACCTCATATGCATACTTCCATTACCGACAACCGTGAGATAGAAGATCCCAACTTGGTAACCTAAAATAACGGTAACCGTGACTGAACTATGACACCTAAGCTTAAAATTAGCCGGATTACATAGCAGTGTACTTGTATTACAACATAGGGCAGCTAGGCACTTTTAACTTTGATACTTATACACACATGGGGTAGTAACAAAGATAGTTAAGATGAACGTAGATTGATTACCTACCTTGGGGAACAAATGAGGCGGAAATATAATAGTTCACAAGCTGCAAGCTAAGGAAGCGTGTGCTGCATGCTGACTTATTCTAGAATTTGAGGTGACAGGATCGCTTAATAGGGCTGAAGAACAGCGCATCTACCTGCATAAGTTCTTCTGTACGTACGTTCGTTCTTACCCTCACAAATACGTATGGTGACCGTCATTTCCAAATGGTAGGTTAATACCTTTTCATTACATGAATATTCAAAACATCCTCCATTTTCCCTTCTCCATTATTTCAGCCTTTATTGCCACTCACTACTTTGCCCCTTCAGTTGTTATTTTTATGCACAACTATTAGAACGCAAGCAAATCGCAGTTTATTGCTTGATAATTCCAAACAGGTTGACGATTGAAGAACAGGAGGAGGCAGCATAAAACGGATATAGGTAGTCTGCCTATGCATTTGGTAAGAAAATGAATCCTTTCTACCGTTAGCCGCACCCTAACTTCAATACCTATAGCTTAATGGCTAGTTGTCCTAATTGTCAAACAGATAGGCTATACTCCTATAGCGGCAATGTGGAATAAAGATGACTTGTCTCTTTCGCGGCGCGACTCATGCATCGCAATCCGCTCTTAAGCAGCTATGCTTTCAAATATCCGATTCTTCATACCCTCGCATGTCCTCGTATACAAATACGCACATAATAGGACAATGCATTGTCAGTCGAATGAGACCGCCCCAACACTAACGGTGTTCTGTCCAGGAACGTGGCGGACTTTGTGCTACGTACGAAGCCTTGGTACCTGCTTAAAGGCGGTCTAGCCCAGTGTCTAGAGATCGGCACTGCAGACATTCCCCATAATGCCATTTCTCCTCAGATGGCATTCGGTGGCTTTTCTTCGAAAGTCACAAAAGGAATCATCTACCTGCATCAGCCCGGGGAACGCGTTGTTCTGTGACACGAGGCAGAGGAACAGCCACAGGCTTACATAGTCTCAAAAAGCTCTCCGGATACAATTTCACCATCGCCTCTTCTCTATACGTCCAATGGTTACTCGTCGTCATCAAGTATCCAAAGCTATTCTTTTCTTTAGGTACTTGAGAGTTCCTAGCCGGTGGCTTCGGGTATTACATTAAAATACATAGCGGTTTCTTCCGTGCGCAGCCACGCAATGTAATCCCGGCGTTGATCTGGTTTAGCAGACAGGGGATAGCGAGTTAAGACCCATTCAGGCCATTCAGGCACGCTAAAACGTGTTTTAAATTGGACATGGGACGCTTTCATTCAGCCACGAAACGATTCAGACAAATTATTCGATATCTACTTCGTACCTCTTCGGGAAATGCGGCATGTTGACATCACCCTATCCCCTCATTCTTTCTAGAAGTCAACGTAAGCCCACAAGACATTGGCATCGAGGATGATATGCTTACGCCATGCAATTAGCTAGCTACCTTAAACAAAACAAGGAATTCTTAATTACCTACCTATGCAACAGTTCTAGACGCACCTGCTTATGCTTAAACCCCGAATCTACGAATTTATTTTCATGGACCTATCACAACAGTTGGCTCTCACATCAGCTGTCTCTTTACTGGATGTTACCTAGGTAAGGAGTTGAATTAAGATCCCTGGGCGGTGGCGTTCGGTAAGGTATCCTAGAAAGTGTCAAACCTGATAGGCAGCTCTTTTTCTAGTCGTTGGTATGAAAAGAACGTTATTAACAAGTTTGTCGACCCATCATCCGTCCGACTTGCCTGGCGCAATAACAAAAGCGCATAGTCTATCCCAACACGTCCCCGGATCGCACCAGGATCGCTTTCCTAATGTGTAAATAAAGAACAACCGATGAGATTGACGTGGATCGCTTACAGCACATCGCGCCGTTTCAAGATTGCTCATCCTGTGCCACCACTTACTTGAGACTTACCACCACCATCCGAACCCCAGCCCTTGTCAACCCAGTAGGTCGCGATTGTATCATCGACCCGCCCTTGCAGCGTGCATACATACATCATCTCGGGTGCGCCTCATCAAGCATGGATGGCAGCTATTGTCAACTCTCTCGATGTTACCTTTTATTATTAGTCGGTCCCGGGGAAGTGGATGCAAGCGCTGCTACTCGTCGCAATGTGGGACAACCAACCCGCGTGGGAATTATAATTTTGGCAGTTTGTTTCTCTTTTCATCCTTACGCCAAGGCCCCTGACCCCTTTCATTTCGAGGTCTACTCACGCTATACACACACGCAATTACCATCTCTACCTAGGCTGGATCGTCAATCTGCCTAATAACGGAGGCAACCGGTTATGTCTCGGACCGCATGATGTGAGCGTGATGAGATTGCGACTGGAGCCGACGCGTACGAGCCTTTTCGCGTGCAGTATTTCACTAGATGCTTTGCGTGTAATCTAATAACTACCATGAGCTACAGGGGATTATTAAAGTTGATATTTATATCCTACCTATCTAGGTAGAACGTAGTATACGATAACTTTGCATTATTCCGAGCGAAACCAAACCTCGAAAATATCGGGATCGGGACAGCTCAATATAAGACTTTACTCGGATCTACCATCAAAGTTAAGCGGACCGATGCCACAACGGGTATTAACAATAGTGTGATGGAGCGCACGGTTGGTGGATAATAATACCCGATCTAGATCTTAGGACCCCAAAGCTCAGTCGTCCATAGATCAGCAGCGCCAAGAAAAAGGAATACCATCTCTCTTCCATAGAATGTACTATGTAGACAGCGAATCCTATGGTGATAACGAAAATACGAAACAAGATGGCGATGCGACGTGGCCATATGCTATGTAGGGCTTACATGTATGTACGAACAACTTTCAACTACCTCAACTAACCCCTTAGTCCTACGATCCACCTCTTAAGCCCGTCGATCATCCAGATTACTATACATCATCATAAGAACCGGTCCAAATAAGCGCATAAATATTTCCGGTTGTTTTTAATTGCATATCGTCGATATCTTGATAAAATGCAAGTTATTCGGTGACCAACCGTTCTGTGGACAACCTTCGTGATACCTACCGAGTCGACGATCTCATGTGTGTATAAATAAATGGGTAGCTCCCACCGAGTCCCGCCTTCGGTCAGAAATAGTAGATGAAAATAAGTCATCTGATCGTCTCTGTTTGCTGGACTTGTCTAACGTCTGTTCATTTATCTTATACATGATCCCTTCTCTCCCATCCACAATAACTACCAAGAAAAAGAAAACATGCTGAATAAATGCCAGGCACGACATGCCTCGAGCAGCTCACATGACGCAAACCGCCCAGAAACAAATATGTATGTACGTACGCGTATAGCTAGGCCACGTGCGCATGAGTATATTATCGCCAAGAAACTCAACCCCCTACGCACTCCATATTCTTGTTTTTGACTCATTAGATGAGCTCCTTGCATGGGAATACATATGGAAGATCGTCACCGGGAAAGTATGGCCACAGAAACTGCGGCCTTCCGCGCGGGACGGCGTCGACACAATCGAATCAGCGCCCGCCAGCGCCTCCAGGCACCGGGAAGAGAGAGCTGGCGATGCCGCACGTAGCCTAAGGTTGCGTCTGAGCATGGCCTGGCCTTGGGGAATGAGAAATTCCCCGACGGAGACGGTTGGTTGCCGGACTGTTGCGGCTTGTCCTACACACCATTGCCGGTGTCGGGGTTGTGCGTTGGGTAAGTAGGTAGATGGCATGCACATATGTCCCCTTCTCTTTTGTGTTCTTTGGCCCCTTTTCATTTTCCCCTTTTCGTCCAATGCTATAGGGCCCGTACAGACGGACCCACGCACAAAAGCCGTTATTAGCAGCTGGGTAAGCTAGCTTGTGCTCTCATAACACGGGTTTATGCTGAGCTTGACGGGTTATTATAAACGGAATATTTCTTTATAATAATGTTCTCTATAGCGTTATGAAAAGTGTACGAACTCTTTAATCTATATATCTGTAGCTAAATACGGTAAGGATAGAGAGTATCTGAAATATATATCATAAAATGGTGATGGTATCGTAAAGAGAACCATAATTTCACATCGCCTTAAGCCAAAGAATATACATAGTCTAGGACCATATAAGTGGCCTAACTAACTGTAAAAACAAGAGGCCACTCGTCTATAATAATGACAAATATAGGAACTACGTAATATCAAGCTCCCCTGCCAAGGTTTCTATGTATCCCGGGGTTAAGAGCTGCATATTCGGAATATCCAATATCCAATCCCATCAGCACACGAGTAATTCCTGTCGACGAGCCATGGCTTGTTCTGAGACATCTCATGCTTACATACATATGCGCTCCACAGCCAAACCCAGGCCAAGCTCGAATAAGGAACCAACCAGCGCATCCCACCGAACCTGATCCAGAAGAGTAAGCCTAGGTAGATAGGCCAGTATCTGCCAAGCTAGCAATGCACCCACTCATGTCGGCGTAGACTCCGACTGCGGCTCCCGCACCATAATCGTCAGCACGGCCTTCCCCTGCCTTCCTGCCTTGGCTAAGTCATACTCTAGTCGGTCCACAGGCTGGAAGCCGAAGCGCTGGTACAGCGGCACGGCTAGGGGTAGGGCTTCGAGGTACGCGGGGATGCCTTCTTTGTCCGCGAGAGCGAGGACGGGGCGGATTAGGGAGGCGGCGATGCCCCGGCCGTGGTGGGAGGGGTCGGTGCATATTACGGAGAGGACTGAGAGGTGTTAGTATGGGATGAGATAGAGAAGAGAGGAGAGGATAAAGAAAGAGAGAGGAAGAAAGGGGTAAGCGTAAGGAAATGTAAGGAGGAGTAAACATTCTCACATACCCAACTTCTCATGAGACTTCCACTTCTCCCCCATAGTCTTCAGACCATGGAAAAAGTCCTCATAAAGCTTCTCATCCGCACCCTCCGGCGCCTTTAGCTTCTTCTTCTGCACAGCCCCCCCTATCTTCCCATCCCCCCTCAGCCCAACCTCCCTCCCCTCCTCATCGTAAACCACAAACCCCTCCCGCAGCCCCTCCATCGCACTCGGCGGATCCCACTTCGCGAACGCGACAACCGTGCCGGAAGACGCATCCACGACTTTGAACTGCTGCGTGGCCGGGTCGCTGAACCGCCCCCGGGTCCGGGACGCGTGCCATGTGCGCATGACGTCGAGGGATGGCGACCACCAGTATATGAACTCGGAGCTAGCAGAGAAGGCGTCTATGACTGTGTTGGCGGTGGGGTTAGTTACCTGGTTTGTTTTCTTGGCGTGTAGATGCTGTCCCTTGGTTTGAGGTAGGTACTCTCTAGGTAAAAGGTAGTCTATACGGACCAAGAGTAGGTATATATCTAGCATTTGAAGATGCTGTACTCCCTCATACATATGCTACACGGCGTAGATCGCCTGAAGCCGAGACTCGGGTTATGAAGAAGTGTATATAAAGGATATATATTGAAAAAACTCACTGTATCATCTAATTAGTAAGGCAAACCAATATACATGTATATCATCAACTTCGAAGAGTCGACACACGACTCACCAAACAGAAGCCATCCCCGGCGTATCCTCTGGCTCACACCGGGCCATCACAAACCCCGGCGGCAGCAAGTCCAACGGTTGCGGGAACGGAAGCGCCATGTTCGTCCTACTGGCACTATAATAACAACGACCCCGGCTCAAATTTGGTATACCCGTGAAAAGAAGTCGGACGTGCTTGGACGTAAATATAAGGACGGCGTTGGTATACTTGGTTTTACTAGCATCCCCTTCTAAAAACCCTTATATCTAATCAGATAACTACATGCAAAAAATGTTTAGTTCGTTTATTTATCGCGGATATAGAAACTAGCTAGGGTCCTTTTTATTACGTAATCGTATGTCGAGATATACTGTGCACACCCGTGATTTACGTATAAGATCTGCATACCAACCTGGTAATACCACCTATCCCGGACTTATTTTACTAAATCTACTAACTATACGAACACGGCAAGGCATCAACGTTGTTCGTTAGTAAGTCTACCATCTATAGAGCGAGTATGGTATGTCTTGTCATTGCACAGATTCATGAGTTGTATATATATACAGCAGGATACCTATACATCTACGTATGTCCATCCTGAGGAGGTGTTCTTTACTCATCTACTTCTGGCCAGGCATCATCCCCGTCTACATCTGACCCGATAGAATCAATATCGAAGGAGTCCTCTTTGCCCATGATGTTTTTCTCATGGGGCGAACGCAGCCGTACCATCGAAGTGATAGCTCGGATTACCTGTATGCACTCCTTATCTATCTCATGGCGCGTCGAAGCAAATTCTGAAGACCAAAGGCTGAGCCTGTCTAATTCCATGTAGCCTCGCGTGAGGTGATACAACGTCGTAGCGATGGGCCGAAGATGTCGTGGGCTTGATCCTTTTCGCCGGAGGTCTAGGGGTAGCTTGTTTTTCACGCTTTCTCTATGGCGTACCAGAAACCATCCAGTCCAGTTTGGCATTAGAATCTCTTCGCAGGTGGTGAATGCTTCCTTGTACTCTTTTAACTGAACAAGTGCTTGTATATAGTAGTTCCAATTTTGGCTGTCTAGCTCAAACCCTGCCTCACGAACTTCTCGGACCATGCTCCGGATGCTGGCGGCATCTCCTCTTTCGAAGTATAGCTTCTGCATAATCATGAGACCACTTGATAGTATATATCGATATTTGGCCGAGACCTTTGGCGTGTGAGGAAGATCTTCGACGTAATCGGCTGACCGTGCTTCCTGCTTTGCAGTTTCGAAGAGCAGCTCCCATGTCGTTATAACACGATCGTAATGCGCTTCTTGGAAATCCGCACGCATGAGAGAATTGAGCATCACCACAGGCAAAACTCCGTCTATGTCTTCCTCCGCTTCTCCTTGGAAAATGTAACGGTAAAGGTCGACAAGCTCCCGAGCCCCAGCGAAGTCTTTGAGCTCGGTTAGCATGGAAACCATAGTACTAAAATGGGACTTCTCGGTATTCTGCTGCAACAGCTCGCCTGCCTTGCTGTGTAGACGCCCAGATGTTAGTTTGTCTAATTTCTTTCGGCGGCGTAAACCGTATATTCTGTAAAATGAACGAAACGCTTCGCCAAGCCACTCCTTTGGAGTTAAACGGGCTCGTTGCCACGGTGGTAGACTCCTAAATTGGCCAATCGTTTGTGTTAATAAGAACAGGCTCTCAGATGAGCTGGGAAATCCATAGTCCTGCATCATCTTGTCGAGCCGCAGAACCGCCCCAGGCTCCCCCGTCACGAGTAGGGCACCCATGACAATATGAAAGTGCTCGGCGGTAACCGTGAAAATATTATCCCTTAAGGCCGCACTCAGGAGATTTAAAGCATGAAGAGATTGTCGACATATGGCGAGACCTATAAGTAACTGCTGGTAGGTGTGATAATTGTAAGGGATTTCCTTGTCGGCCATAAGAGTAAGAAGTCTGTTGATGGCAGCAAGATCTCGGCGAATGGCATGGTAGTAAATGAGCTTGTTCCACATCTGGGTATCGACAATCCCTTTACTCGCGGCACGAACACATACGTCCTCAGCGGACTGCATGTGGTCATTCCGGCAGTACGCGTCGACGATAGCACTAAGAATGGCCGCGTCCGCTTTCCCGCCCAAACTCAACAATTGTCGGTATAAGTCAATTGTGAAACCTAGATCGCCTCTATCACCCGCCATTTGCATCATCGTCCCAAAGCTAAAACGGTCCCATTTCCCCGCTGCCACTAGGTTTTCGAAGGTAGATATCGCTCCATCATAATCACCTGCCTTAACATAAGCGTTAAGAAGGATGTTCCAGTGGTGTGTAGTATGTTCTAAATGGAATGACCCCGAGATATCATCAAAGATTTGCTGCGTTTCAAGAACTTCACCGCGGACGGCATGCACCTGCATGAGGTGTGCAAATATATCGTCGGATTGAAGGACAGGAAGTTTAGGGTCGTCGCGGTATACATGAACAAACTTACGCCACATCGTGTAGACGTGTTCTGTGTCTCCTCGAGACGCATAGAAAGTCAAGTATCTCTGAAATGCCCTGTAAGAAGGGACGGTATGAAACTTATGCCAATCGCCCCATAGCATTTCTATCCCAGCGTACTTCACTGATGTTGGCACGACCAGGTTATTATAGGCCTTGAATATTTCGTGAAGAACGGGGTGGCTCGGCATGCTCCCAGGTGAATCGCGATAGATACGATATACCTCGATGCCGAGCTGTTCCTTGCCTCTATAGACTACCGTTCGTAGAAATTCCTCGAAAGCTAGAGGGTCTTTTGTTATGCTGAGTAGAGGGATAACTTGAGCATCAGTACACGACAAAAGAGCCCTACGGACTAGAATCCTCTGAAGTGAGTCTAGTGCCTCCCGACTAAACTCGGCGCTGTCAAGTTCTCGAAGTAATTGCCGACCAGTGGCCGCGAAGTCGAAGGCTTTTTCAGCAAGGCCAGGCACGAGAGCAACATGTTTTAATTGTGACGTTATACCCTCAAAATTCCACCTCCCTGTCATGTCAGGGTAGTACTTTTGTATATCCGTTAATACGGCAAGGTGGCCAGAAGGAGCTACATTCTTTAAGTGCGACGAAATGTCTTCAAAGTCCCATCGTGTTGTCATCTTGGGGTACAGTCTCCATAAATCCTTCAATAGCTCCAACCCCGAGGACCGTAACGCGGTAGCGAGTAGCAAATCGAGGGAATCGATTAGGGGGGGGAGATCGAGAGCACTATGCTCCAGCCCTTTAGTAAATATTTCAAGCGCTCGATTGGCGTTCTGTAGGCTAATTTCGGCCGTAACACCCGCGACAAAGATCTGGTTGGTCCATTGGGATAGAGGTATTTGGTGGAATAGCTCCGAAACTTTCCACGAGGCGGATAGTCGATCACTTTTCGAGAGAAAAAGTAGCACTTGTCGTATGTAAATAGCTTGCGATGGCTCATCTAAGGCCTTATAGTTATACCAAACACGATCGGCATCTTCAAATTCGCTCTTCTTCAGCAAATCCTCGAGAATCGTAATATGGTCGCCGCCCATATCGAAATGGTTAAGACCTTCCGCGAGGACATCAGACTGTGTTTGTCTCTCATCAACTTGGGCGTTACTCTCTTCATCCTTATCCTCGGTAGCTACACCCTGAATTCTACCCGGTTCTGTCGGCTCATTGTCTTTGTGGGTGACGTCATCTGGGTTAGCCGATACGCTGCTATCAGGTTCGTTTTCTTTCGGGTCAGCGGTGGCTTCAGAGCCGGAATTGCGAATCTGGCGCTTGGAAAGCGACGATGTATATAGGCGAGGCATAATTTTCCCAAAACGATACCCATAACGGAAGCTATCAGGACGACTAGAGACTGGTGCGACTGGAATTAGGCGGCGCATCAGATTCATGGCGCTGCTTGGATATAGGAAATCGAGAAGAAAGGCTGAAGCGCTTAGGACTGAATTATTGTTCTCTTCGGACACAGAGCTCATGGTAAGATTAAAAGTACCATGCATCAAAGCTTGCCAGGCGGCAGTAAGCTCTATGTCAGCAGCTCCGTGCTGCCAGAAGGCGTTTCGAAGCTGCCTCGAAGTCCGAAAGGACTGGGTGGCGCCGGGAACTACTCGATGGAAACCGCATGGTTCCAAACTGGCGGCCGTCTTCTCCAGCATCGGGAGGGTATGGTCTATAGCAATACCCGCCTAACACAACAGCTCAGAGCTGTAATTTCATGGACGTAAGTATGTGTAGTTGAAGAGTACAGTTCAGGTAGAGCTCCCCAGGTTCTGGCGCTAATTTATTAGGATATGAACCTTTTGAAGAAATTATTAGGTACTCACTATACAGCATCTCGTACTGTAGTCCAATCAGACTAGACTTATACAGTATCTATTCTCAGTTTACATACACAGAATAGCCAAGTATGAGTATGCAGTAGAGATTAGCCATCATGTCTAATTTAGGTCATGACAAAAAAAAATATAGTTTTGGTTTAAAAATTTATCCCACCTCGGAGACGACAGGACCTTTTTGGCGTATCTTATTTTAAAGGTTTATCGCTAATCTGCCCCACTTGAGCCACAAGCATCAGTAAAGGTAAAGGTACCTACTCATACATTATGTAAGCTTTTAAGTTTAAATGGTAGCCAATCTGACCCCACGTTAAACCGAATTTTGAGCGTTGGAGATTGAAAGCTGGCCCAGCTCAAAAACCAAAAACCAAAAACCCCACCACATCAATTCAATCCACCAGAAACGTACATTTGATTTCAACTCTCACTACCGCCCATACGTTAATCTGGCGGTCGACACCTCGATACATCTGATACATCATGGATATCACAAACTTTGTGGTTTCGGCCAGAAACCAGGCACTTTTATATGGCGACTACACTACTTACCACAAGCAGCTGGTCAAGAAGCTACACAAATGTCGAAAGAGGTTGAATATTGCTACTAAGAACCGCAACAAGTTTACTAAGAAAGACCCTATCACGGCCCAGAATCTGTCGGAGAACCACGAGTATGCGCGATCTAACCTATTAGTTTTTTTTAGTTTTTTTATATATAAATATCGCTGACGGGAACGAGGTACCTTCATCTGCAATTGCTGACGGCCGAGCGTGCTTGGGCACATGGTATGAGGTTCAAGGCCGTTCACTCCACCGATACCAAAGGCATTACAGGCAGAACCCGCTCCCATATCATTTCGAGACTTGTTAAAGGCGCCCGCACTGCCGAACATCTCGTACAAATATTATCCGAAAGCTCTGTGACGGGGGCTAGCGACACTGACATCCTAGAAGCACGTGCATATGCTTCTATGATACGAGGCGCCACCCAATTCGAAAAACAGAGCTGGGAGCCGTGTCTACAGAGCTATGCGACAGCCCGCATCATATATACAGCGCTTGCCACATCTATGAAAGGAGACACCTTTAAAGACTTGTTATCGGACACCATCGACCCTTCTATTCGATATGCGGCCTATCAGACCAAAATTTCAAGGATCCAAACGATACCGACCATCGCCAGGAAGGCCTTCCCTTCTTCTGACTCTGCCTTGGTCGAGCAAATAAATAAATTAGCCCCGGACCTACTCAACAAGAGCGATTCTGATGCTCAAAGGGGCCAAGTCGGTGCCCCGAACGCTCCTCAGACCATCACATGGAGGTCCCGAGAAGTCAAGATCGAGGATGCAGCTATCGCTGTTGCGTTAGCATCGATAGACACAGCAACCACACGATTGACGGAGAAACTAGCATCTTCCGACGTTATATTACCAAAAGAGATGGCTGCTGCGTACGATGAAGTGCTCATAGCTAGTCAGGATGCGGTAGATGCCACCAAACACGCTATCGACGAACTTAAAGAGGAGGGCGTATCCCAGGACGACGCTCGAATACAAAGTCTACAGATAACTCGCACCGCGGTTAACTACCAGGTTATCAGCTGGAGAATCGGTCGCAATCGGGTTTTGAGTGGAGAGCACGACGGAGCCTTGTTAGACTCGGCTCCTACAACTACTCGAAAATCCAAGAAAGATGCCAGCTCTCGAAAGCCTAAGATTGAGCCACCCGGCAGGAAGATATCTCGGCTCAAAGACAAAGTTGTACTTTACGATTCTACGCTACAGAGCATTGAGTCGGTTGGGGAATTACCTGGTGTTGCGGCTGACAGAGACCTAACAGAACAATTAAGCGCAACTGCTAAATATTTCCATGCCCTCAAGTCAGTATCTACAGTTCTTATACTCATATTTTCGCGCGAATACTCATAGATAATATAGATCTCTCTCCATTGCGAGGTCGCACTCGCTAACCAACCAATCGCGCAATGCTTTAGTTCTTACCAAGCACGCATTTGATGAGTGTGAGCAATCAGCTGCGTTTTTCTCGATGCAGGAGCCCTCTTCTTTAGAGTCCTCGCCCCGTAACATAGAGATCCGGCCAGCCGATATCCAATTCCTTCGCAACCTTTTAAAGGGAGAGCTTCAAAAATGCCGAGCGATTGTTGAAATAGATAATCTACGGCAAAAGACGACGAATGCGACCCCACCAAGCGCAAGAGCTCCACTCGTGCAACGCTTATTCGAGTACCCAGCGGAGGGTGTTAACTTAGAAAATCTCGTCGAGTTCCCACCCAAGGTGAATCCTATTTCGGTGAAGCCTCTATTCTTCGATGTTGCTTGGAATTACATAGATTACCCTGGAAAGACCCCAGCTGCCGCCCCCGAGTCCGAGCAGAAGCTGGAGCAGCCGGCGCAGCCGCAGAAGAAAGGATGGTTCGGGTTTGGAAGATAGTTCAGACCAGCCTGTTATCCTCCAATGCCTACGTGAAATAGACCATAAGTCAGCCATTCATATAAGACATTGGATTAAATCTCACATCTCCTTGCTACGTTTTCATTTTTGTGACTGTGTCCCTAGGGGTTAACGAAGGGCTACTACTCTAATCTTATTGAAGGGCGGTTTGCAACAGTCCATGCCTAATATTGAATTCCCACATCCCTTGCCGTTACCACAGCCCCTAATTATCCTTATCAACTCCTAGAACCCCTCGAACTTGGCAACATTTTTAATTCCCTCGTTATGGCTCATCATGTTAGATCGCCTCTTTGCAAGAAATGTCAGTGGGCTAATGACGCCCGACTACGAAGACAGCCCGCGGTTGGACTACCTCTCACAGTCGTCGAAGATCTGGGCAAGCACTAGCGAGTTACCCATTTTCATCACTGAGAACCAGTCGCGCCGCACTGTCTCTCTACGTCTCTTCATCTGGGCCCTCGTCTGCTTTACCGCTGTAGCGTTGGCGCTGGGTCTGGGTCTCGGGCTCGGATGTGCACGATATAGAGCCCTCTATTCTACACCACTGCCCCCATTATCTAATTACAGCATTCGTTACGGTATCCCTGAGAACCTCGACTTCGTCCCGACAGATAGGCTTATTAATAAGCGGGAGCTCGAGCTAGATACGAACTTCGCCGTTTCGAGCGAGCCTCAGGTCCGCGAGTTCGAGTTTAATGTGTCGGTGGCGCTGGCCGCGCCGGACGGATTTCAAAAGCCGATGGTGTTGGTTAATGAGCAGTCTCCGGGGCCGCTGGTCGAGGCGAATGTGGGGGATACTATTCGTGTTAGAGTTAATAACCACATGAGGAATAGTAGCACGTCGATACACTGGCACGGCATGAACCAGATCGGCACGCCGTGGATGGACGGCGTCGCGGGCGTTTCACAGTGCGGGATCCCGGCCAGTCAGGGGTTTACGTACGAGTTCCAGGTGATGGACCAGAGGGGCACGTTTTGGTGGCATGCGCATTCGTCGGTACAGTATAGCGACGGTGCTTATGGAGCAATTGTTAGGAATTGATGCGCTTGTGGATATAGCCGTTGTCTAACTGAGATAGATTATACGCGATCCAGGAGAACTGGTACCTAAGACAGACGACGAGAAGCTCCTGTTTGTGTCGGATGTATATCACACCTACGGATCCGTTGTAAGGCGATCCCCTTGGTTTTTGATCTATTCTAGACTTATCCGCTAACCACGAGCCTCGGTTACTCGGGCTAATATAGATATTAACAAGCTACCTCAACTCGACGTCAAAATGGGTTGATTGGGAATCAGGCGTCGAGCCGCTGGCTGATAACGTCCTGCTCAACGGGCAGAACACATACAACTGCTCCGTTACCTCGACCACTTACGCACCATCTGCAGACCAGCCCTTCGAGAGTAACTGCACGGAGGGGCAGCTCTACACGACGAAAGTACGCCGTGGGAAGACTGTACGCTTACGGCTGATTAACGCCTCCTCGTTCCTATCGTACTGGTTTAGCATCGACAATCACACGATATCTATCGTTGAGTTAGACGGCGTTGAAATCGAACCTATTTCTGCTCGTGGCGTATATTTAAACCTAGGACAGCGAGCCTCTGTGATCCTAACCGCAGACCAGGAGCCCGGCAGCTACTATATGCGTGCTTCGCTGCCGAAGACGTGCTTTCTACCGTATGCGCCGTATAATAGTTCGGGGCTCGAGGCAGCAGGGTACGGCGCCAAGGGGATAATATCGTATTTCGAAGATAGTGAGCAGGATGCAAGCGATCGTAATGCTGGCACGGCACTTGAGCCCATTGGGGTTGCTGGAAATACGTCGAACCCGTATGGAGTGGAGAATAACGGGCTCAGGGGAGACGTGTGGGAGGGATGCGACGACATGCCATTCGATATGCCAAAGCCAATGCGAAAACAGCCCGCAGTGAATGTGAGCGAGGCAAATACGCATTATCTCGAGTATGCGTTTCGCCAGGCACAGGAGGTCAATCGCATTTTCGTCAACAAAGTCAGTTCTCTATACCGACCTATCCCCTTTCCTTAAAAAGTCTTGCAATAAAACAGATTAACGAATATATCTAACCTAACCAACTTACAAATAGACATCCTACCTATCTCTCCCCGACAACGCCACGCTCTGGAAAGCCCTAGACCAACAATTTACCCCCGACAGATCAAATTCGTACAATAGCTGGGACTTGGGACTCAACCAGCAGGTCCTACTAATCCCAGACGCCACCCAGGGCGCTCAGATCGTCATCAACTCGCTTGACGGGATGGAGCACCCGTGGCACATGCAGTAAGCCTCCCTCCACCCCTCTTTCTTTCTTTCTTCCTCCTATAGGCCCCAAACCCAAGTCTGTAGTATACCTAACTATAACTAACCTTTAATAGTGGTATGTAATATAACCTCTAGAGAGAAGAAGAAGAAGAAGAAGAAGGAATACACTGACATAACACGTAACCCATCCCTACAGGCCATACCTTCCAAGTCGTCGGCTGGGGTAAAGGCCTCTTCGGCAGCAGTACCAATTCTACCACCTGGAGCCTCGCGAACCCGATGCGCCGCGATACCGTCACCGTGCCGCCCTTCAACCACGTCGTCCTGCGCTTCGCCACCGATAACCCGGGGCTCTGGGCGTTGCATTGCCATGTTGCATGGCATATTGAAGGTGAGTTTACCTAACTGTCTACGTTGGCGTATATATTTCGTCCTCTTTTTATTCATTTGTAGCTCATCTACTTTTGCTCCTCTCTCTTTCACCTTATTTTGTTCTTCCTTGTCCCACTAATGATAGGAAGGAATGGTTAAGTCACCAATACTAATATCATGTACCTGTATAGGCGGCATGTTTCTCACCTTGGCCGAGCGGCCATCCGATCTCGTTACGCTAGTTAATCAGATGGATCCCAATACAAGACGTCAAAGCCAGAGCTTCTGCGGCGTGGCTACATAATGTCAACATAAATCTACGGAGCTAAGTAATGTTTTACACTAGAGTATACCCGGACGATCTTATAAACTGTACCTTGATTATATCTGGATCCGTATATAACATAAATTTCATCACGGTATAATGGAATCTACAAGTCAAATCATGAGAGGGGATGTCATTTTATTATTTTGTCCTTAGTCGTGTCATAACGTCCTATATACAGTGCCCCAGCCGGAGCCCGCCTGCCCATGTAATGCCCTTCGCATCACCAGAAACCGACGTGAAAATATTAGACACATCTTCAGCGTGGAGGTAAAAATGTATAAAAAAAGAGTATAACTTTCCCCAGATCTCAGAACGCCACTCCCGCCCGCAAATTCATGGACACCGCCGAGGAGTAAGTAAGTGGGTAGTAGTAGGGGGTAATGTAACGGCAGGCGGAAACTTTTTAGGGGGGGCGGTAAATATGAGTACAGGTTAATGTACAACGGTAGAGCACTGAAAAGCTCGTATAATTCCCGCCTCGGGGGTAATTAGTGTAAATCGAGAATGCTTTGCCTATAACAGGGTATTTAAGGCTTCTTCTCATCCTCAGGCTTGGCCTCCGAAGAGCCAGCCTCAGAGCTGCCGGATTCGCCGCGGGCCTTGTGCATCTTGTCGAAGAGGTTCAAGCTAGCCATCTGCAGCTCATCGGTCTTCTCCTTGATCTCGGCGGCGGTAGCGGTACCCTCGCCGGACTGGCTCTTGCTCACGAATTCCCGTAGAGAAGTGATCTTCTCCCGGATTCCGTCGGCCTCGGTCTTGTCAAGTCTGTCGGCAAACTCGTTGAGGGCCTTCTCAGTGTCGTTTAGGACGCTATCGGCACGGTTGGCAGACTCGATAGCGGATTTGCGCTCCTTGTCTTCTTCTGCGTACTTCTCGGAGTCCTGGACCATTTGCTCGATCTCAGAGTCGGACAGACCAGAGCCGGACGCGATGGTGATGGACTGGTCCTTGTTGGTGCTCTTGTCCTTGGCGTGAACGTGGACAATAGAGTCGGCGTCAATGTCGAATGTGACCTCGACTTGAGGGACACCACGATGCGCCGGGGGAATACCGACCAACTGGAAGTTACCAAGAAGTTTGTTGTCCTTTACCAATTCACGTTCGCCCTGGTACACCTTGATCTCGACGGCAGTCTGGAAGTCGGCGGCAGTAGAGAAGACCTGGGACTTCTTGGTGGGGATGGTGGTGTTTCGGTTGATCAATCGGGTGAACACACCACCGAGGGTCTCGATACCGAGGGAAAGAGGTGTGACATCTAGGAGCAGAAGATCCTTGACCTCACCAGACAAAACGGCACCCTGGATGGCAGCACCAATGGCAACGGCCTCGTCAGGGTTGACAGACTTGGCGGGGTCACGACCGAAGATGCTCTTCACCGACTCGGCAACCTTAGGCATACGAGTCATACCACCGACAAGGATAACTTCCTGGATATCCTTGGCCTGTAGACCAGCATCCTTGAGGGCTTTGCGCACGGGTTCGGTAGTCTTTTTGATTAAGGGGTCCATCATGTTCTCAAGCTGGGATCGAGTCATCTTTGTGTTAATGTGCTTGGGGCCGGAAGCATCGGCAGTGATGAAAGGCAGGCTGATATCGGTCTGGAGAGACGAAGATAGCTCAATCTTGGCCTTCTCGGCAGCTTCTCGGATTCGCTGGATGGCCATTCGGTCGTTAGACAAGTCAATGCCGGAGTCGCTCTTGAATTGCTGGACGATATGACGGACTAAGTGAATATCGAAATCTTCACCACCCAAGTGAGTGTCACCGTTTGTAGACTTGACCTCGAAGACACCGTTCTGGATCTCCAAAACGGAGATATCGAAAGTACCACCACCAAGATCGTACACAGCAACAACTCTGTCAGCCTCCTTTTCTAGACCGTAAGCTAGAGCAGCGGCTGTAGGTTCGTTGACAACTCGGAGAACGTTAAGACCGGCAATTTGACCGGCATCCTTGGTGGCTTGACGTTGTGAGTCGTTGAAGTAGGCGGGGACAGTGACGACAGCGTTCTTGGCCGGCTTGCCCAGGTAGGCCTCGGCGGTTTCCTTCATCTTGTTAAGGACGAAGCCACCGATCTGCGACGGAGAGTATTTCTGGCCTCGAGCCTCGACCCAAGCATCGCCATTGGAGTGTTGAACGATCTTGTAAGGAACCTCCTTGATATCTCTTTGAACCTCGGGATCAGTGAACTTTCGTCCGATTAATCGCTTAGTGGCAAAGAGTGTATTCTCAGGGTTGACGACAGCCTGTCGCTTAGCAGCGACACCGACCAATCGTTCGCCATCTTGCGCGAAAGCAACAACAGAGGGTGTTGTTCGAGCACCTTGACTGATAGTCAGTATACTGTCGCAAAGATATGCGCCAACAAGGGTATCTCACCTTCTGCGTTCTCAATTATCCTGGGCACCTTGCCCTCCATAATGGCAACGGCTGAGTTTGTGGTACCTTTAGAAATTATGTTAGTAAAATTCCTCAGACACGGATAGCAGTGACATAGCAGTGGGGTTTTCAAACTTACCAAGATCGATACCGATGACGGCACCTTGGACTTTTCCTTCCGTCGACTCATATCGAGCGAAGCTAGATCCTAAAGGCTTTCGCAGAGGCGCAGCCCATCGCGCAGCTCCGGGAGTTGCTCGAGGAAGCTGTTGAATCGAATCGCAGTTAGTCACGCGGGTGTGCAAATATTTCGGAAATTGTGGGGTATTGGTTTGACTTACAGCTCTGGAGAATCTGGAGGCCAACATCATGGTGGCTGAGAGGTGGAGAGGACGGAGCTATGGGGAATGAGAAGAATTGTCGCAATGGAGGAGGAGAAAGAGAAGGTAGTATACAGGTGGTTCGTCGGGTTATTTATTATTATGTATGAGGATAAAAGATGGCAAATTGGTGGAGACGATTGCTATAAATTTTCTTCGGCGATTTGGGACGTGGAAGAGAGAATATTTCTGAGAGCTTCCTCGCGGGCGGTGTACCTCGGCAATAACGTGGGATTCCAATCATAATTCGATGAAATTTTTAAGAGGAAGTGACGTGAACCAATAATCGATATGTACCACATACGTACCTACCGTACTGCCCGCACCGGCGGCGAAATCTCAAAATCTCGTCCGCTAGAGCCGCGCTTAGGTAATATTTTAGAATTTCCCAAAGCTTAAAACCTTTAAGATGTTAGACATTACATAGAGACTTTTCAATGTCTGCATATGGCATCTTAAGCACGCTATTCCAATAATTATATGCATGCGTATATTGTTAATATTAGGTACACTTAAGACTACATACCTACCTATGCATAATGGCAAACTTGAATTGATCAACCCAAAATCCAATAAGAGACATGCAATACTACAAAGATGGCGATGATGTAAGAGTGTACACTATATAGTATGTGCATAGCTCGAATCTTTAAGAGCTTAACAATATAGGTACGGTACCGGCCCGATGCGGCACATACAGTATACGGCAACGCGGATAATTACGCAAATAGTATCACGCAAATCTAGTTAGGCAGTAGTTTTACCAAAACGGAAGCCTGTCTCACTTATATGGAAATAACTCCTATGGTACAAACTTCGTGCTGCAACAATAGTATATATATCTATATATATTTGCATCGCCCGTCCTAAGTTGTAAGGTAGGTAAGGTAGGTCCATATGTATATGTAGTTGCATCATTAATATGCGTGTACATATGTAGGTAGATAAGTACTGTACATACTAATATTCTTCGTACTGTACAATCCCGGGTACAGGGTCACTACAGGGTACCTACCCGTATATGTTAGGGCGTGGTTGCCCGGTGCCGTTGATTGTTCGGCGGCAGTAGCTGCTTGGTGCTTGGAGCGAATCTGGACGTCATCTGAGGAGCCTTCCACTCAAGGGAAACTTCTGCCTTTGTCCCATAAGTCATTCAACAACTTCCTCAAATACTTTTAATGCAACCCGCATTCGTGGTTTGGTAAAAAAGCACAGCAAAAAGTACCTTCATGCTCACTCACATTCCCTTTTAGGATAAGGACCCCGAAAACTAGTGCTTCATCCTCTATAACAAACTTGCATCAAACGTTTAACCCCAGTTGCTAGGACTTGTTGTGATCTCACTTCTCTGATTTCACTTTTACTCAGCTCATCCCCCCGGCACTGCTACATATTGTTGGATCTACTCTCCGACCAGTCGACCAGTCCGCCACGACCCAAATATCCCACGATCGGCGCATCTCCCCCTTACGTGTCACTTGACTTCCCTGCGACGCGTTTCCATGATCGATGCGACTTGATGAGCCATTATTACGGTATTAACATCCGCCATTGGCACCATGGCCGTAGACGAGGAGGCCAGGTAGGATTTGCTGCCGCGTGCTGATGCGCGCATCCAAATGGAAATGGCGACACCCCGCTGATTGTCAGTCGTCTCTAGTCTCTGGCCTACTGATAACCTGCTTCTTAAAGAAGGTCGCAAGCACTATCGCACCAGTGTCTCGCCAATGTAAGTCTCACAGCCTATCTAGCCTACTACCTATACCTCTATCTAGGCTACCTAGGTACTTATACCTACCTATCTCTGCGCAAACTATTAATCCCTACACCGTTTGTAGTCATTGGCAGCTCCGATCATTGGTCAGTGCTGAGCAGCAGGGCGTCATCTACTTCCCGGCTGGTGTCAACAATACCCATATCCAACGGCTCGATACTTCTACCCGCGAATGCGAAACTATTAAAGTCATCAGCTTCCACCCCCGCTGTCTGGTTGCTAGTAAGGGCTGGATCTGCTGTGGAGGCGAAAATGGAGAGTTCGTGGTCATACGAGAGTCGGGTAACAGCGATGCACAGGCCGATACCCTCAGCAGAGACGTTCGCTCCAGACTAACTTCGCTTGAGTCCTCCAGCATGACTGATGGCACCATGTACCAGCTTGAACGCGACATGCTATCTGTTGTGGAACGAATTAATAGCACCAACAAGACGTGGTCAGCTTCCAGCTATAAGATCGGTACCGAACGCGTCAACTGCATAACCATCTGGCACCCTCCTAAAGATGCGGGCGCACCAGCCCCTGGACAATACGAGTCCCCGGTAGCTGTTGTGGCAAACAACGATAAGAGCATTATCATCGTAAGCCTCTACGAGCCCGACTTGCACAAAGACGTGTTGGACTATCCCGATTGTGTCAACCGCGGCGTGATCTCCCCTGATGGAACCATCTTAGCTGCAGTCTGCGATGATGCCTACCTCTACATACACATGCGGGAACAATTTAACAAGAATTACGAAGGAGTTTCACGGCGAGTTACTAGACAATCTTCCAGATGGGTATCGCTACCGAAAATACGACTCAAGGGCCAGTGGAAAGATGACTCTACGGATTGTCGAGGGAGCTTCGCAGCTTGCTTTTCTTCATCGGGGAAATACTTGGCAGTGGGTACCCAATATGGCACCATATCTATTTTCAATGCCGTCAAGCTCAAGGACCCCAACTCGGAACCTTTAATCGCATATTTCAACTCTGCCCGGGCACCTGGGGAATATGGTGCTGTTAGAGACATGGCCTTTTCGCCGGGGCCATTCGATCTTTTGGCGTGGTCAGAACATCGAGGTCGGATTGGAGTAGCAGATGCGCGCTCAAACTTCAAACGACGACATATCATCCACCTAGATAGACATGAAGGATTTAATCATTTCTCACTTAATGATAGTAGTACTATCGATCCACGCCTTCTCGACCCGCGCAGCGAGCATACTACCGAAGGCGATCGTAATGCCGATAACGAGCGCAATGCTGAATCATCCCCGTTAGGGATGATGGACCGTTGGAACCGAGCAATATCTGATCGCCGGCCCCTACCAGATCCGGAAACATCAGATCCCACGTCACGAGTCAATCAGCCTTTCAGCGCAGATGAGATCTCGATCCTGGAAGCCTTCCAAGCTCAGCGTCGTCGACGGGAATTGCGGGATCGAGGGGAGCAATTAGAGCAACATTTTATGGAACACCGAAATCAACGCGCTGCCGAACGGAATGCATTGAGATCTACGGGTTGGGCAGATCGTGTAAGTCTCCAGAACGACAGGATTAGGCGTGCGAACGTCGGAAATCCCACCGCCAGTTATTTATACAGTAACCAATTTGGTTTAAATCGCACTAATACGGGTGTTGAGCAGCGCGAAGCGCTGACGAGATTCATCGAACGGGAACGTATGCGCGAGATCCGCGATCAACATCGTTCGAGCGCCACGAGCGCCACCCAGGCGGCCCCCGAACCGGAGCGCGAGAGAGGAAGTTCCATACCGCGAGATTTGGGTCGAAGTCGCACGTCCATCATGCGTACACTAGCCCAGAACTTCGATACCATTTCGCAGACTATGAGGTCGCAGGGCCAGTACAACGAAGCCGGTAACGACAGCTCGGGAGCCTCACGCGATCCGTGGTATGTTGGGGGATCCGGCTCCGGATGGCCCGACCTCGAGAATCTGGCCAACATAAGCGGGTGGACCGGTGGGCTTACCGATAATGCTCGGACCGAGACCAACAGGGCCCGTCGCGGCATCCCGGTCATTGCCGACGTATGGGGCAACGACTCGCTCTTTAGCAGGATCAGAATGGGCCGCCGCGAGCATACACAGAACCCAGATGATACCGCAGGTTTGACATGGAGCGAAGATGGCCAAGTATTGTAAGCGAAATATTTACCTTATCTTACAAAGGCGAATGTATATCCTAACGAGCCCGTCCCTAGATATGTCGCAGCAGAAGACGGAATATACGAATTCCGTGTAAATATCTACGGCAGAAAAGTGTTCCCGGATATTCAGCTTCGCTAGGCTATAAAGCTATGGCATTCATCTGTAAGCTATGAACAGTACCCTTTTTTTTTTCGGCAATGGGGACCTCGACGGCGTTAGGGGCGGTATTATATACTCATATGTGCATAAGGGAGGGCAAAGGCGTCTTACATTCTTCACTGGTCCGGACGCGGTGAACCTTGTTGTCTGTTTTGGTTTTGTTTCGTTCTGTTTGCCTTTTTGTTTGCTCGGCTGTTCAGGGCAACCGGCAGTAACCCCCCTTCGAAGGTAAGCGTGGATAATTATGTGTTGCTCGCCTTATAGTTTCCACGAAAAGTTAGTTTCGTCGTTGGAATTTTGCAAGAGACGAAGGTGGAAGAAAGATGTTCGAGAAGGGTGGCTTGAGTTGTATTCGGCTGGTAAGTCGGCTGGTCGAAGGCTCCGCCATGACGGACGTTTTTGTTAATGGAGAGATGTACATACATTATATTGCGCTGATTCCCCTGATATTAGATGTAGCCACATCGCTGAACCGAATTGTATTTGGCATGTCCTTACTAGGATTTGACTTGGCTAGTTCTTGTATCTTATATATGTGCTTGTGTTATTGTATCAAGTTGCTGCGCCCCCTTTAACTTGTTTTCTATCTGACACATAAATTGCCGTGATCGTTAACCAAAAGCCTCTGATACCTACCTATGGAGGTTACGCACTTTCTTACCCCTATCTACGTCCCCAATGCCGCGGATCCCTCCACCTTCCCACTTCCATACAACATATCCTTTACCATCTCCCCAATCGCCAGGCAACTAGTCAACCCTGGGCTCTCTATCCCCAGCAGATTCACCCACCCCTCAAACCCATCCTCCTTCCTGATATGGAAATCCACAAACCCCCCTCCGCCCGTTGCTACCGCACCTGCCGGCAATAGCTTCGGCCGTATGCCCGCGTAGTCTGGCGTCAGGGCGCTTTCGTCAATAGACGGGAGATACTTCTTTATCTCGGCGATGGCGGCTGGTAGACGCGCTGCGTTTACGGCTAGGTCGGCGGGGGACTCGACCCATTCTACGTCGGGCCCGAAGCGCATCCGGCCCGCGAGGTCGAGCGTTAGGTGGGTGCCTAGCCCACCAGCGCCAGGGGCGGTTACCGGGTAGATTAGTCGACGGACTTTGGGGGTCGAGGACGCGTAGCTGAAGTAATTCCCCTTGGCGTAGTACAGCTGGACGTGCTTGTCCGGTGGCACGATCATGTTATGGATATCAGCAGCGCCGAGACCAGCACTGTTGATGATCGTCGAGGTTGTGATACTCGATTCGGTACCAGTAGCCGCATCGCGAACAGTAAGCCGCCAACCATCACCACCGGCCTTGGACCCCAAAGCCTCAACACCTACAACCGCCGAATTAGCAGCCAGCACACCCCCACCATCCTCAAACTGCCCCAGCAGCGCAGTCATCAGCGCGTGTGAATCGACGATTCCCGTCTCCGGACTCTCCAGGACCCCTCCCAAAGCCTGGACCTCCGGCTCCAACCTCCGCGCCTCCTCGCGCCCCACCCACCGCGTCGGCACGCCCAACTCCGCCGTCCTACACACCTCGTGTATCCCCCTCAGCGCCTCGACCTGCGCCTCGTCCTGCGCTACAACCCACTTCCCCACGCGCGCGTGGGGCACCCCGCAGCGCGCGCAGAAAGAATACAGGGCCTCGCGGCCGCGGATACACAGACGTGTTTTCAGGGAACCGGCGCCGTAGTACAAGCCTGCGTGGATGACCTCGCTGTTGCGCGCCGAGGTTTCCGTGCCGGTGTGGGCGTGCCGTTCTAGCAGGAGCGTGCTATCGCTACTGGAGGAAGGGTGGTGGGAGACTATGGCTCGCGCGATGGCGAGGCCGACGGCGCCGCCGCCTATGACCTATGTTTTGGAGGGGGCCTGTGAGCTGACAAGGTCTGTTGCGTGTACATAGATTTACGTATGCATAGTTAATTTATTATGTGTGATATATACAACACCGATGTGTAGATATTCCAACCAGAGCCAATAAACGAATCCGACTTACAACATGCGTAAAATCCGTCCTCACCGGTGCGGTACTAGAGAACGAGCGTGCTAGGCTGCGCAAATGAAGCGATTGGAATTGCCGCTGGGCCGTCCTCGCGAACATCTTCGTTTCCGTCTCGCAGAGAAAAAAAACCCAAAAAAATATGATTTACCTGTGACATTGGAAACGAAGAGCCAAGATCCCGTTAAAGGTAGGCAAGTTATAATCGGATCGTCGGGGATGATAATCATGTCATATCCTGAACCGCCGCCGAACCGGAGCTCTTATCGACCTATCTATGTATAAGCTTTACTCATAGTTATATAGTAAGTATAAGTGAGTAAGCAGGTTAATTTATAAGACTTGTCTAATGAATAATCAACATTAGTTAGGCATTTGAAACTCATTTATAATCTTGATAAAACTTATTTCGCTTTTTGTTAAGCAGAAATCTATAATTTAACCTATTTTGTAGTAGTTATATAGCCTTATGACACTACCAACTTTCGTTTCTCATCAAGTCCTGTCTGTATTAGACACTCGATAGTCTTCTACACAGAATCAACTTGCAATAGAAATATTAAGATGACAAGTCAAGTAAACACAATCACTCACTTAATCCAGCACATCATCTAATTTCTTTAATTTCAAACATCGAATATGAAGAAGTCCCGTGATTCGCATCACATTTATCAGTCTATGAGTACTGGAAACATGTACACATACCGAAATCCCGTCCGGGAGAAAGAAAATCATTGATGCCAAGGGTCCGCGATATACCGAGGGACCATATCAGAAACAATTGTAATACGCCATGTTTCGCTAAGTCATATCCCTCTTCCCTGATGCCCTTTTCTCACATCCTCCACCCAACGCCGAATATTTGCTCAAAAGGAACGCAGAAAATGGTCTGACACGTCCATTTATGGATAGTTGAGTAGCCGAGCGCCGGAAGACAATATTCGAGGTTACAAAACAGTTCAGGATTTCCTTACTCGTCCTTGACAGTTTCTGAAGCCGCGATAGGTTGAGCAGTGCTCGTAGAAGTAGTAGCAGGAACGGCAGATAATGAGCCCGCTGCAGCATCTTCCTCGGATAGTGAAGTAGACTGGGTGAGATGTGAATGATGCGTTGGCTCTCGTGTCAGTGACGCACCAGCATGAGCTTCGCTAAGTTGGCGCTCTATACACAGGTTAGCGATACGTAAGGTAGTCATAAGGTAGTCATAAGATTGAGCATTGTATCTTACCAAGTTCCCGAATTCTATGACGTAGCATCTGATTCTCACGAACTAAAGACTGTGTCTCAGCTTGGTAATAGGCACTCTCGTCGCGAACCCCAGAAAGAAGCGGCTCTCCGCTTTCCGCGCTGATAGACGTCGATCTCAACCTAGGAGAAGGCGCGCCGCGGCTGGGTGTTCTAGATCTGCGGTGGAGAGCATCGCGAGCCATGTCAAAGGAAGAACGCGGATGAGACAGGACCGGGGAACGGGGAACCGAAGTTGACGGTGCGGGGAAGGGTGGTTGAGTAGGTACGTTAGGAAGCACCATGGAACTAGATCTCTCTGACATAGGGGTCGCATCTTCGGCGGCTACGCTCGTTTGGCTTTGACCTTGGGCTGCCTGAAGTTGTTGTAGTTGGAGTTGTTGCTGGCGGATCATCTGTAAGAGCCGGTTCTACATAATCTAGATTAGCTAACTGAAGCTTATCATTGAATATTATAACAGCGCTTACCACTTGTGCTTCCTGTTCTGCCTCGAGCTCTTGATGTAGCTCTCCCAAGCTTGGAGCTCTGTTATGGTGGGGATCGCCTCCGGTGAGGAGGGGTGACGCAGAGATCGGCTGGGGGCTTGTAGCGCTATGTCCGCTGCTTCCACCCTCTGCCACCATTTCACCTGGTCCCGGAAGAGAGGGATCGTTGAGTTGTAGGTTCATTAAGACCGTAGAGCGTCGTCGGCCCATTCGTGGTGATTGTCGGTTTCGCGATAGAGAGCTGCTCGAGGAGCCTGTAAGAGGAGGGTCAGTACAGCTGGATTAAGAGAGTAAGTAGGTAGTTATGAGGAAGGAAAAGCCTACGTCTCATGGGTTCATGTTGTAGGCCGGCATTCATTGTTGCAGCTGCTTGTAGTGAAATAGATGCGGATCGAGGAGAAGGTGATGCTGACTCTCCGCGTATGGCAGAGTCTCCGTTGCCGTTTGAAGAGGTCATGATACGTGGTCGTGCAGATGGAGATGGAGATGATGGTGGAAGAGAATTAAGATCGGGTGCCATGTCGAAAGTAAGAACGAACTTGACTTAAAGTTGACGTTGACGTATGAAATAGTAAATAAAAGTGGCCGGGTCACTGGACGTTGAGGTTACAAAGGGCCACCTAGGTTAGGTAACTTAGCCAAGCCACCAACCCTCCAGCTAAGCAGGTTGTATGTAGTGTATGTATATCAGGAGAAGGCGAGTGGAGATGGAGTTAGGTAAGAAATCCGTAAAGGATGTATGTATGTAGATTACAGTATGCAGGTGGCGGTCTAATGGCCAAAGATGTCAATTAGGGAACTATGACTCGGAGGTGATCATGGCACGAACGCCCGATGGGGGCACAATGCATACGTACAACAAGCACCTTTACATACATATAGCTTGCGAAGGCTGAAGCTGGACCTTTTGATACTTGATGCTTGATGCTGTTCAGGTGACGAAGAAGTCGAACGATGTTATAGGTGTTTTTTTTTTTCGAGTACCGTGACCAAACAGATCAAGGAGCGAAAGCACCAAATTCGGTAGAATTTGCTACTTGTCCAGGTTAGATTAGTGGTCCAGCACAAGTTACATACCTACATATTGATAAACTTGAAGTTGCTGGTTTTAGGTAATCTAAGGTTTGCTTAACTCTGCTACATATGTAATATTGTACTACTGTGTACGGATTAGGTACACTGCAGTAAACGGAGCTGGGGAAAGGGCATTTCGTTATGTACATATGAGGTAGGTAGGTGGGCTGTGACCCTGTGGGGAAAGGTACCTAGAGCTATACTATGTACATACCTACCTACATGTAGGTATGTAGAATTGTGCTTATGTAGAAAAGTTGACCTATTGACGTCAAAGGTCCGGACCTCTTACATGTTTTTTTTTTGCCGTGGAGCGTGACCCCAGAACAAGCCCAGTTATATGTAATCACATTTCGCGGCTCCTTGCGGCTAGCATCTGTGCTGTCTCCTGAGCCGCGCTTACATACCTATTCATCATACCATTTAATCTACAAACCACGAGATGTCGTTAGGTACGCGACCCAAATACCTCAAGAATGTTACGAAGCTCGCATCCCATTCCACGTAGCAGATCTGCGTTTTGTTGTACGAATTCCGTTGACTCAATTAATACATGTGTACCCCCCCCGCGCTTTTGTAAGTATATTACCTTAGGTAATCTGTCGACACATCAATCCCCCAATTGTGACGGACAAGTTACACCATGCGAGTTAGACAGCAGCTAAGGTAAACCGATACGACCCTGGGGGTTACGTGTTCATGCAGGGGATCACTTTAAACCTCTACTCGGGTCTCATCACTTAACGTAGCAGCATGGGCTTCTGGCGTATCTGAGGGGCAAAGTCCTGCTGATATCGTTATTTGTTAGTTATCTACACGTATATGTAGATAAATAGTCACTGTAGCTTGACAATTATTTAAGTCGACATTGATATTCTTAGTAAACTGTATTTTATATGTTTTATATATACATGCGAAGTCGACTTCCCTTTCGTTATTCTAGCTGTGGGTATTTTGATACTTGATCATCCGTAGACAGTTTTGGGAGAAGACCTCCTCCTGATTATGACATTCTTTCGAATGGGTACGAGCTAGTCTCAGAACTTAAACCCCAGCTTACATATGTACCTCTTACCTTACATACCTACATACATAGTACAAGTCCCCTGACACGCTAATGTAATTCATAGTCGCTAGGTTAGTAGGTTAACCTAGTTGTTTTAACTAACTAGATCTAAACTCTATCTTGTTTCAAAAATAACCGTAGGTCCAACTCTAGATTCTCAGAACTTTACTTGGATATTCGGCTTCTTCTATTCCATTCGATTCTATTCGTTGGTCGTAGGTAAAAAGAAAGTCGCGGCGCCCTGGTGTTTAGTAAACGAGGAGATAACACTCCAAGATTCCAAGATCACATCTTCAATATTACGATCGGATCATAGCTTTTGATAACCGAATCCCGACCGGCTAACTTCATGAATAGTAATACCCGATGATATCCCGCAGTGAGATAGGACCAATATCGCTGCCGGCCGAGTCTTGGCTGAGTAACTGTGAGTACAATTTTACCCCTGAGCTCAGCCTCCTTCTCCCCCTATTCTGTCATATGTGCCGAAACGCGCATGCACCAAGAAACCTTCTACACACCAAGTCCAAAAACTTTGTCGTTCGTATCCTTACGAATCACATATATCCAAGACCATTATCCGGCTCCCGGACAGCAGCATGTGGCGGTGTTTCGGAAGTTCCCAGGCGCTTGTACTGCGGCCAAGAATACTCCGGGGATTTGAATATCGGTGGCTTTACCGTCTTAAGCATAGTTATCTACGGGATCACTTTATCGCACAGGCGCCGATGCGGAATCAACCTCTACGCGATACGGATATCGACGGAAAAGAAAAGAGAGAAGTGAGTTGGAATTTGATGGAACACACCGTCTAGACCTTGGTCCAATGCAGACAGGTTTACTATGGCGATGCATTAGCACGATGCCCACATGGCATACTAGCTATACGGTACCGAAACTGTAGAACAATTGGCACCGGTGGTTATCTACCTTGGAAGTCATGGAGCTTAACAGTATATATACATATGTGCCATGGCTAGCGTGGCGATACCAGTTGGCGTGTGTATAGGGAAATCCACTTCCACGCTGTTGGATACCTCGGCTCAAGTAGGCTTACCACGTTTTGGCGAGGACGGGATGCGGATACCTCGACCTGAGTGATCACCAAGTGGAATTCGCTCGGAATTCCTAACCGGCAGAGGGCAAGATGTCAAAATGCAAAGGCCGCTAATAGGGGTCGCAACCCGGACATGCGTAATCCCAATACTCTGGTTTTGGGAGCTGCACCGTCAGCTGCATACGGGTGCGTCCCATTACTGTTAGATGCGGGCTGGCAGGCCAGTAATATCGCTCAGCCGACGTCATATCATCGCCGCGGGCTTGAGGCTAGAACTGCTGCTCGGCCCTACCCTACGTAGAGACATAGTAAAGCAGTTGCACAGGTCGGCGAGGACAACGGAGATGGGGACAAAAAAGGAAACATCGGAGATAAAAAAGGCATTCGTTTATATGCAATATGCCCACGAAAACCAGGAGAGGCCTCACTTGACTTGGGGTGCAGTTCTTCTGATCGGCAGCTCGTGCAGATAGGGCGCATTTGCATACACACCTACTTCGTACATATTCTGCACTGGTATCAAGGATCGTTCCTCTATGATTCGCGGGTACCTGGACTACTTGGGATCAAACCCGGTGGTCTGTATGCACGGGACGGCGTCGGGTCTCTTGTTGCTTCTACGGTTGGGTCTATTAATTTAGCGGCCAGTCTCTTTCTGCAAAGACTGATCGTCGGCTACTACCGATGCGGTCCCGGTGGTTCGGATCCCGTTGATGAGCAGGTCTCAGTCCGAGCCCCCTAACGCGCGTGGCGGCCCTGTCGATTATCGTTACCCTTGTACGAGGTGACAAGAATCTCCCCCCTCGCTGGTCAATGGCGTTCTGGGAAGCTTACATACATATGTATGAGGTATGTACGCAGCATGTAGTCGACAACTATGTATGGCGAATAAGCCACGAATCGTCTACGAGTAGAAATTGCCCCTTAAGCGAATATTTGATTGGCCTATGAGATGCCCGTTCTGGGTGATTCTAAGGGGGATGTATGTTGGATGCGCACCTATCATGCCTCATTCCGAGACCCCACGGATGGTATTGTATTGCGCGGGCTTGGCGTAGATAGTTGGTCAGAAAGTTGCACAGCTGAAATAACGTTATCAAAAATAACTCTTATAGCATAAATATATATAAATATATGATCCTTCAGCTGGAATGAGCTGAATATATACGAGCGCTGCATTATTAAAAGATATAAGGTATAATAGAGAGCTATATAACAGCAGCTGATAGGTTCTTGCGGTATAAGTTGGCCCCCTTTTGAGCATGATGGGAGCCCACAGTGAGACTGGAACCCGGCGGAAGAAGCCAGTAGGAAGGAAAACCATTTGAATCCTTTACTAAGCTTGGCCAGCGTGGGCGATCCCGGTTCCCCGGCCGCTACTGCAGGAACTATCACCACGGAGACGCAGGATCGGATGTGGGAGGTTTGCTATAGTAAATAGCGACTATGCATACTTAGCTAAGTAAGTCAAGGGAGAGAAAAATATGAGGCTTTAGGTTTGCTAGAAGCAATTGCAATATTATTTACGTCTTTATCGATGGGGCTTGTACATAAAAAAGACCATAGTGCAATGTAGCATATGTACCTGGTTGTTAGGTATCTAATATCTGTTTGGCCGGACCACATCCCCTAGCTTCGATAGCAGGGCCGAGCAGGGCCGAGCAGGGCCGAGCAGGGTTAAGTGCCGAGGTGCCATTGCCATGTGGTCTGGTGGTATCCCATAGGCTTGGATACATACCTCACTATGACACTACCTATGTATGTATCGTGCGTGCGTGAATTAATAGGGATTATATGTATGTAAGATATGTCATGATTTACGCGGAAATACCATTCCAATCGTGGATAAAACAATCGAGAATGCAGAGGGGATATGTAGATGATGAATAATGCAGAGGGAGCACAGGACGTCGTATTTCAAATTGGAATTGTACCGACGAGAATGCAAGGTCAGCTGAGCTGAGAGAATCCGTATGCGCCATGCAACTGTCCACTTCCTGTGCCGCGGTCAGTCTTGTAGTGTATGTACATATGTAGTATGTAGGTATGTAAACCGCAAATCTCACGAATCCGGTCGGCGGTTATGAGATGTACATACGCTTGAGATGTACGCTATCTTTTTGAGTGTTACCTCTGAACAAGGTATGCGAGACTCTTAGGTTCTGGCTTATGTATTGACCACGAGCCAATATATTCTGAGATTCGGCTCGCTGCATACTGGATTTGGTTGGAATCTTGTCATGGCTCGAACCCTGCCTTGCTAGCAAGCAAACAAGCATGGCCCTATTGAAGTTCCCACAGGCCAGGGTGACGCCTAAGTTTGGATAATGATCAGCGTATGTATGAAGTATGGATGTATGGATGTATGTATTTCCGCCGTTTCGTCGCATTTCTAACCTTGAATCGCGTTGCGGTGTACATACATACGGAATACGGAATAGAATCCCATACATAAGCTGCGATATCTAGTCTGCTGCAGATTGTGGCGGTATGTATTGGCATACATATAGGCAATGGGGATAGATATTCTAACGTACATAGCTGCAGAGACGCCACAAAGAGACCGTATGCATACCTAGACCTACATATATATACATACTTGAATGTCGGACAGTCTGACTCAGTCACTGCAGGTTCCCGGAGCGCAGATACGCATGTTGCGCATATTGCGGGTTGAAAGATCAATAGTCCCCCGAGAAAACTCGCTTCGCATTGCCGGTTGGTGGTTGGTGGTCGATGGCCGATACATACGATACGATACAACCTTCACCTATTCAAGCTACGACATGTATGTATGTACGCATTGGATCAATACCTAACCTACATATGTATCAATCATCAGTGTTGCTCCGAGTTCTCCATTTATCGGCACTTATCAGAGCTTAGGTAGTAGTATGTAGTACCAAACATAGACGCCCTACATACCGGGCTCTCCTCATTGCAGTCCTGTGGGAAGATGCTACATACATCGAGGATATCTCTCCACTTAGGGGAGACCAAAGAGACAAAGCCCATGGTATTCGCATGCGGTGACGATGGGTCTCCCCACTGCTGCTGGGAGTGTTGGAGCCTTAAACAAATACTTGGCGGCTCACGAGCAAGATCACATTCCTAGTACGTCGTTGATTCGCCGTGGCTGCCAGGGGGGTGGTAGTGCTCCATAGGCGCGTTTCTTCTCACAGGTTCAAAACAACATTGGAAACGACCGAAGCACGCAACGTGACGAAGCTTTGCTGCGGAATATTCAAGTTGAGAACTTTAGGTATTTAATCATTGGCCAGTGTTAAGCACTTACTCACGTATGTAGGCGCCTATGTATGCTTCGCAGAAGGGGGACGCATTTCTGGAGGCGAGGCGGGAGTTTTTCGTCATTCTCTCCGAAGATATTAAATATAAAAAAGAATAAAAAAGAAAAAAGAAAAAGAAAAAGACTTATACATGGGTACCTAGGCACAATACCTACTTACGTATTCCCCCCAACTGGGCTGCTGGGCTTCTAAACCGGGTCTCTCTCCGAGGAGGTGAGGAGTGTCAGACGAACGTAAGATGCTAGCGCTCTTAGTGGCAGTGTTCCCGTGAAAGAGGCGTTTCCCTATCGCCTGCATATGAAATACCTACATACCTAGGTACATAGTATATCTGTCGTGTTCCGCGCCTATCTGTCATTAGATATTCGTGTGTAATCAGGACGATCGCATGCTGAACTCGACAAAATCGAGGGGGGCAACGGGATTAAATTCCGTGAGTGAGTGTCAGAATTCGAGGAATCGAAAAAAGAGGTCTGTGATGGGATGAGAAAAGCTCAACCCTTGCAACTCTAGCCGGAAGACCGCCTTACGAGCTACACTACGGGTCTAGTGCGGGTCTAGTACGGGACTAGTACAGCTAGCGCTTGACAATTGCACGAGTAAAATAGAAACGACTACAGGTATTTGCCAGGTAACTACCGTGGATAAGTATGTACCATACCTATGGTATTGTACTTCGTACATACATACATACATAGCGTCCGCAAGTCCCGCACGATCATGGGCCGGAGCCCTGGAAGAAGATCCCTAACCGGGATGGCACCTAGACCTGTTCCCCTTGCCATCAACACATACAATACTATGTATGCAGGTATGTAGGTAGGTATGTACCTGACACTCCAACCCACTTCGCCAGTTCGAGTCGCTTTGGAGCAGGGGTTCCCGCACGCGAATCCCAGCACCTATGTAGCCAAGGTTCGATTTCTTCCAATTTTTTCCCACCAGCGTGCGGGCGTTGGGGCTCCGGGGCTTGCACATATGTATGTGAGATGTGTGAGTTTCCCGTTTCCGCCCCAGCCCATCCCATCCCCATACCAATACCATTCCCCCTTCAGGTCAGGGTCAAAGAAAACATGAGACCGAAACTCGACCTACAAACCTGCATATATGTACATACCTAGCCAACCTGTTGGGGCTTGGAGCAAAAAAAGGGAATTCCTAATTTTAACCTTCTAAAAAGTCGAGTCTCCCGCCTTACGGGCTCCCGGTCTAGTCTTCACTTTCTTTTGCCCTAACTCCACCTCTGGCAGTTCGCTTGCTGTCATCTGCCACTCTAGCTTGAAGCTATCCACGAGCTAGTCAGGCCCGTTACATAGTTTCTACCAACCTGGACTTCCAAGGAGGAACTGCCCGGCTTTACAGCGTAGGGTTGCCCTAACTTCATCGTCGCGGCCCCGTTGCCTTTCCCCCCTCATGATTTCGGTTGTTGACTGATATTTTGGGGACTCGCCTTCTTAGGGCTATACCTTGATTTATCTTATTCCCATATATGCGTCGACAGCTTTGTACTCGCGCTCTATATGTTTGATTAGCTATCCCACGTCACCTCGTCGACAGCTAGGATCTACTTACACATTTACAAATATATTATAACAAAAGGCTACTTATATCATATATATTATTATTTACCTTACTAACTATTCAGCAACCCAATAAAATATGGCTGAAATAGACGTTACTGGGCCGAGGAGTCCAACTCTCGAGACGCTCCAGAACCGCCAACGCGAAATGCGGCGAGCACGACCACCAGATATAACGATTATTAAAAATGAGAACAGAATTCCACTACGGCCGGAGAGATTAGACAAGCGCGAATCTAGGATTGGCTTGAGGAGTTTATTCGGCAGGTCGAGAACAGGGAAGGACGATAAGACAGGAGAGGAAGCATTACCATCGCCAAAAGAGCCAAAGGAGTCACCACGAAGTGGCCGGAGACGCTCTTCGCTAGCAGACATCGGTGTCTTTACCCGGGGGCTTCATGCGTCTCGCTCTGAGGTTTCTCTTTTACCTTCACCTTTGGCGTTAGCAAAGCCATCGCCGACTGAATCGGTTTCTTCATTAAATGCTCAAGGGCGGCGAGGTAGCAATGTCGCTATCAAAAGCAAACTTGGCCAACCAGTATCGCCGAAAAGCCCTACCACCACTTTTGACCCGCCGCCTTTATTCAAGATGTATCCCCAAGCAGTTAAGCATGCCACATTACCAGCTTGTGCCACTCCGATAGAGACCCTGGTTCGCTTCAGCGAGTCCAAAGATAGCTCACTACAGAATGACTTTTCGCAGGGTAACATCACTCTTGACCGACAAGAAGCAGGGCGGAAGGCAGAGGGAGATAAAAAGAAGAAATCCAAATTTGCGCCGGAATGGACCAGCAAGATTTACGCACTTGTCACCTCTGGATACTTACTCCAATATGCAGCCGAGGGCTCCTTCAATAGGCTACCTGAGAAGGTCTTACATCTCACTCGAGACTCGGCTGCTTATGCTAGCGACCTAATTCCTGGGAAGCATTGGGTTGTTCGAGTGACTTCATCCACAGATGCCGACGGAAACCCATCTACAGATGCGAAATCTCTTAGGTCTAGGCTTGCTCTAAGAGGAATTGAGAAGCGACAAGTCTCTAACATGCTGCTTGTTTTCGAAAGCCCCGAGACCATGGACGCCTGGCTCGCTATCCTGAGACGAGAGATCGAATCACTAGGCGGTAAGAAGAAGCTTTCGGAAACCGGAAATCCCGAAGCAGACGACAGCGCTACTACGCTAAAAGTGCAGGCCAACCAGAGGGCTATTGTTGTTCGAGATCCGGCCCGTTTCTCGCGTATTGTTTCCCAGGACTTCTCGTGGACTCAGGAGAATGCGCTTGTCGATCCTACAGAAGAGAGCGATTCCAACAACCCGCCACTGAAGCGACTGTCGGAGTCGACTGTAGACGATGACTCGAGTATGGTTTCGTCGGATGGTCAGCGCCTAGACAGCCTTCGAGATAGTGGCACCGGCGCTGGTAATCGACTTTCTTCCGTCTCATCTGGACAGCGGACAATTGTGTCTTCGGCGGAGTCATCGCCGGCTAATTCCCCGATTCGAGCAAGTTTCTCGAGCCAGGAGGAATATCTATTCCAAAAGAATAAATCACCATTGCCACCTACCCCTGAGGTTAGGCCGCGTCCCAACGCCGCTGCAATCGCAAGTCGCAGGCAGTCGATGCAGACTATGATCCCTGCTTTTGATCCTCGTCTGGATATGGATAATCACCCGTCGTTGACCCTATCTCCTCCTCCTCCTAGATCAAGTCATGGCGACAGGCATCAATTCGTACCTAACTTTAGCGTACCACATGCAGTGGGTAGACGATATTCGTCGTTGAGTCTGTCTGCAATCCCCCCGAGACCTGAACAGGTGCAAGCAGTTGGCCGAGACGAACCCGCTAAGCCTCCTTCCTTTCGAAGGAGTCCGCCGACAACCCTCCCCATCTCTCGTCCCCTCTCTATTGTTCTCGATCAGCCGCCGCCATTATCATCTTACTCGTCTAACTCACTTACCTTCTCAATCAGCAAGGTACCTACTTTACAGATGCCTGCTTCACCGACCAGATTTAGCTCTTGGGCTAGCAATGCTCTCAAGCAGCGATCACAGGAAAGGGGATCTCCCCCGAAGAAGGGCCATCTGTCAAAACAGATCACCGACAGAGCTCAAAACACCACGACGGGACGTCGTAGTACAGATGATATGCGTGCCAGTCGACAAGGTCCGACACGTCCCCGAGCTAAGACAAGTATATCATCCGTTCCTCAACCAGCCCGCGTCCAGTCTTCAGAGATTGCGGATGCTCCCGAGCTAATACGCAGGCCCGCCTCATCTTTCGAGATGCGGAGAGTATCGACGGCCCCGGTTCCTAAATATGTATCCTACAACCGCACCCCGCCGCTAGACGAGTACCCAACCCGGCAGAACCGCCACTCGTTGACGGCCTCCAAACAATCCCCCAACTTATCCTCTATCGAGGAGCCAGACTACACGCTATCGCCGCCCCTAGCATTCTCGCCTAAGCGCTCGGTGCCTTCCCTCAAGGCCCTGCGGCAGGATGCGTCACCAAAGCAATTATTTGCGGTGGACATGAGCCCAAAAGCCCTCTTGACCAGGAGAAGCATGCCTCACCTCTCCGAAGGCCCGCCTCTCGCTCCTCCACCAACCTGCGCACTTCCTCCACTTCCGGGAAAGCACGTGACTACCATGCCTAGGAGCATGAAAGCATGATGTTTGCCTGCTGGTCGTTTTTATGACATCCCTACCCTTCGAAACAGTGAAGGATGGGACTTCTCCTTTTTTGTATGCTCGTTTTTACTTGCTGCCTTTCTTGTACACCATTGTATGCCCTATAACCCATGATAATGACGGCGTTTTGCGATTATGTTCGTGCTGCTTTACTGCGTATAGACCCATTTATTGTATGGGGGAAAAAAGACACCAACTGCCCTTGCGGGAATTTTGTTTCATTAGCCAAAGAAAAGAAAAAAGTATAGTATATTTGTGGGGTTAGCGGGAATGAAAAGAGACGAAGACGATGAAGATATAGCTTTTTGATACCACGATGGATACGACTAGAGATGAGACGATACGAGCGGTGCGCAGACACCGGGAAGTATTTTGTGTCTGAGGACAGTACATGTTATGACTTGGTAACAGCGGAAAATATTTTCTATGTGTGCCTAGGCTTGCCTAGTGCTAATCCATACCAGAAGGAGGCTGGTGGTGGGATATCGGGGTTTTACCTACCTTATATATGGATGCCAATATATTACTACCTATTGTAGGTAGTATCAAAAAGTAAAATAAATAAAAAGAAGTTTCATGACGAAGTTCAACTGAGAATAATACCATGGTGGTTTTAGAATTGTATATACCTATATTAGAAAAGAAGCGAACTAAAGTTATTCTCTTTAGTTATTAGTTGTATTGTTTTGTTGAAGCAAATTGAGGGAACAGACTGCTTGGTACGGATTACATAGTCTGTTGGTGTCCTGTGCACGGGCCAATCAAATTCATTTATATCAGAGAACCCTCACCTTGAGTTGATAGCGCGGGGCAAATCTTGTGGTACCGATAAGATAATTTGAGACCCCACACTTTGATCAGAAACTCTGACCAGAAATTATAATTCCCAAAACACATTAAAAAACCGCCATCGTCGACATTCGAAGTTCTATTCACCAATTTATCAACATAACTACAAGCAACATACGGAAAAGACACAGTGAAAATGGCATCCAAGGCTAGGTAAGAAATCTAGGAGATACAATCTTCCTACCGCTTCGCAAACGATTGATTACGGGATGTGATATGCTAACGCACAAATAGGGACTGGGCCGACGACGACGAGGGCGACGACGTCTTAGTAGAACTACCTCCCCCCCAAACTATCCAGAACAAAGACGGTACCAAGACCACAATCACCTACCGATACAACGAGAACGGGCAAAAAGTCAAGACGACCCGACGGATCCGCCTAGTCACGCACCGCGAGGTCGTCAACCCGCGCGTCGCCGAGCGCAAAACATGGCAGAAATTCGGACTTTCCGAAAAAGACGGACCCGGCCCGCAGATGGACACGACGTCGGTAGGCGAGAACATCATCTTCCGGCTCAGCACGAACTGGCGTAAGGACACCAAGGAGGAGGCTAAGGACCCCAACGCCAACGCCATGAAGGAGAAGCTCAAGGACAAGACGGTCAAGTGTCGTATCTGCAACGGCGAACATTTCACTGCTCGGTGTCCGTACAAGGATACTATGGCTCCGGTTGGCGCCGAGGGCGCTGCCGATGTCGCTGCTGGCATGGGTGATGAGCCTTCGTCGAATGCGGTGGGAGCTCCTGGCGCGGGCAAGAAGGGCAGTTATGTCCCGCCGGCGCTGCGGGGAGACCGTGGCGCGGCTGGTGGCGAGAGAATGGGAGGTGGAAAGTATGGCAGCGAACGGGACGATCTTGCTACGCTGCGTGTGACGAACGTAAGTTTTATAACTTTATTAACTATATCCCCTTACCTACCCCCTATCTACCCAACTTCTTGTCTCCATCTCATACTATTCCATTATTTTCTTTCCTCCCTCTTGCTCCGTATCCCTTCTCACACCTTCGACATCTACGACATTCGCTCTAACATAACCTACCACAGGTCTCGGAAATGGCAGAGGAGAACGAGCTTCGCGACATGTTCGAGCGGTTCGGCCGCGTGACGCGCGTGTTCCTAGCCAAGGACCGCGAGACAGGGCTCGCCAAGGGTTTCGCATTTATCAGCTTCGCAGACCGCAGCGACGCCGTCAAGGCGTGCAACAAGATGGACGGCTACGGTTTCAAGCATCTTATCTTGCGCGTCGAGTTCGCCAAGAAGGCTGCTTAGAGGACTATCTACTAGCTAGACAGTTTAGGGAGTGGATAGGAATTCTTTCTTCTCGCTTGTATGCGAAAAGATGGATGTATGACATGATATGGTATAGAAGGGCTTGGTCCAAAGGGATTGTCATGCTGGGTGATATGGATAGAATGAATGAATGAATTCTAGACATAATAGGACACGGATACCTATCCAAATTTATCCGACTCTACGGGAAAATGTCTTCTTCGCCATGCTTAGCCCGGTGATTTATTTCAAGGGTTATTTCACATGATATATGAATACTGGGTTATAAGAGCTAAGTAGAATCGATATCAAATCTACCATCCAGTTCCCTCTTACAATAAACCGACAGCACTCAACTGAATAAGGTGCATTAACGATAAGGTGAGAGGAAAAGGGTGAGAACACTCGAATCTTATTATATTTCACTTAAAATTACTCTCATTATATCATCACTTCTATAAGGCACCTTTTCGTAAGAACTTTTCATATCATTAAATGTTATTATATGAGCCTATACAACAACCTAGCATACCGTTAGAACCGCTTATAATTATATGAATTTGCTTTTACCTTGGGTGACAACAATTCGGTCGGGTTACAGCTTATATTTTTTAACCTGTATAATTGAAATTATTAAGATAGACTTGAAATCTCCTCGTTATCAACTCCAGACATATTTCTAGTTTCTAGTTTAATATTTACAAAGCCAAGACCTTACCTAATATCCTTATAACTAGCTCATTACATAAGAATAGCTTAGTTATCATATAAGACTTGCCTTATACCCATCGTCGGATCGGGTAACCAAAGATTCCTTACCGACCAACCCCCCCCAACGTCTTCTTCGCTCCTATTGGCGGTCATGATTAGCAGATTGGACTCCTGCATTCCAGAACGTGCTGGTACCTAGGCGGATGCTGCATCTTGCATGTGACGCGCATCCGAAAGCGATCCTTCAGCCTTAGGAATAGCAAATAATTGATACGTACGCTACATTGGGTAGTATCCGTTGACACTCAAGAATTTGTTGACGAACCGAGATTGGTAAAGTTTGGATTGTTTTGCTTTCGGTTTGAGGCCATATGTAGTGACGTCGCACACAAAACGGTGCATAGAAAACGGCATGTGCCCCAAACCTATAATACTACTACATGCTGTACATGGTAAATTTAGGTATTATGACCCCTAGGTTATGCAGCAAACATGTATGTACTAATAAATGCACCTCACGTGGAACCGGTCTTTTGTCACCCAATTGAACTCTTCCACACTCTTCTGCATTTAAAAGTATTTTCTCTATTCGTCGAGTTGTTTAGGTATTGAAGAAGAAAAAAAAAATATAGAAAAAATCGAAAAAATCCACCTCTTTTCCCACTCTTCTCGCTTTTTCCTCTCAACGCCCCCAATTGCCAAACTCAACTTTTGGCTTTTCTTTGTCTCTACATGGCTGCTAGTAGACGAGGCTCATCACGCATCATTGCTTGATATCTAAGCTGCCGGAGAACATCTAGACGTACATGAGATATCTAGTCTAATGGCTGCAACCGGTGATTCCGCTGCCGAGGTTGGCGAATTACGCCACAGGCAGGTAACGGCGAATGAACATGTAAACAGTGACAGTGACGATGGCAGTGAAGACGTCGTGACATCGTCCAAGCCCAGGAAAACCTATGGCCGTACCAAAGATGGAACAAGTAAGCACATAAAGTAGAATACGAATCCACACCGGATACTAATACTTATATACCAGTCTTCACGGTTCCTACTACTCATGATATGGTATCGCAATTGCTCGACCCTAGGGAACCCAAGAATCTATCGGATGCAATTGTCCTTGCCGTTCTTGCCGGCCACATCTTGACCTTGTATCTGCTCCCGGACTCCTTGAGGCGGCCCGTGTTCGCCGTCGTCTTTCTATTCTGGCGTACCTGTTACAACCTTGGCATTGGCATCCTTCTACGCTTACAGTCAAACGATAACAAGCTTGTAGCATGGGCTCAGAAATGGAAGCTCTTCGAAAATCCGTCAACCGGCAAGAATCCACGGCCATGGCTGTACGAGATTCTCAAGCGCGAGCTGGAGATCAAGATCCCTGAGGACTACCAGTTTGAGAAAGCCCCAATCGAGTACAACACTTGGCTAGTCTTCAGGCGACTTGTGGATCTCATTCTCATGTGTGATTTCGTCTCATACTGCTTGTTTGCTATCGCTTGTGCCCACATTCCTCCTGGAGAATCCATCTACGTTACCATTGGTCGATGGTTCTTTGGATGGCTCACTATAGGATTCAACGTATGGGTCAAACTTGATGCCCATCGAGTTGTGAAAGATTATGCCTGGTACTGGGGCGATTTCTTCTACTTGATCGATCAGGAGTTGACCTTCGATGGTGTATTCGAGATGGCTCCACACCCAATGTACTCGATTGGGTATGCAGGATACTATGGTATCTCTGCGCTTGCTGCTAGCTACGCTGTCCTCTTCATCTCCATCGTAGCTCATGCTGCCCAGCTCGCCTTCTTGGTCTTCATCGAGGATCCTCACATTCAAAAGATATACAACCCTCCTACTCGCAAGAGTGAGGTACCCACCAGACCTCGAGTCCACAATTTGTTGGGTATCAAAAACTTCGACCTACTAAGGACTGTCGATTATTCTACCTTCGTAAATCTCGGGCTTGTCGCTCTTTTCGCTATCACCACGCCTCAGACGCCGCTGTACCAATCCATATTCTTCTCGCTCGCACTCTTGGTTCGACTCTGGTACTCCGTTGGATTAGGTATAATCCTTACTCGGCAGTCTAACAGCAAAGCATGGACCCGCCACTTTTTGAAAGTTGGAGAGACTCCAGAGGAGGGCTGGCGACAGTGGAAGGGATACTATCATATTACTCTTAGTCTGTGCTATGCTACCTTCATCGCTGCCTGCTGGAAGATGTACTCAGCTCCGGTCGACTGGAACTACGGGTTCGTCCTGCTCAGGCATGTCATCGGTGCTAGCCTCATCGCTCTTCAAATCTGGACCGCTGTGAGCATTTATGATTCTCTCGGCGAGTTTGGTTGGTTCTTTGGTGACTTTTTTTTCGACCAAGGCGCGAAACTTACGTATACTTCGATCTATCGTTACTTAAACAATCCGGAGAGAGTTCTCGGCACCGCTGGCTTATGGGGTGCAGCCATCATCACATGGAGTAGATCTATACTTGCTCTTGCATTAGTTAGCCACCTTCTTACTCTCGCATTCATTCACTTCGTTGAGAAACCACACATGCAAAAGATTTACGGCCGCGAACTAAGACGTGAAGCTGGCTTGACAAAATTCATCAAGCGTTCTCTGCCTCCGCCTGTGATGGGGTGGCAGTCGAGTGTCAATAAGGTCATGGATGAGACGTCACACTTTGTAGAAGACTTTTTGGATACCGCGCGCCCGAAGTTAGCTTCAGGTGTCTCGACGATCGTGAGAGATACTACAGCGCTCTTTAATAAATATCCTGCTCGTCTCACCTTGACGAAGCTTTCGCCTGATCTCGCAGGTTTTGACCCTAAGCAGTATTCTATGAACGTGGAAGGCGAAGCATCGGGATTCTCCGCCCTGTCAGAACGAGCTAGTGGCAAGGAGGGCACAGCGGGACGGTTCCCTAACGAGTTAAAGACGATGATTTTCGAATACGGCGCCCCGATTAAAGTCAAGTGGAGAGCACCGGCGAGCCATGGAAGAAAGGACTGGATTGGTCTTTACATGGTAGCCGACAATCGATCCCGTGAGATCACCGAGCTCTCATCCCTTGGACGATGGATACCTACCGTGCCTGGCCAATTCGAATCTACTACGGCGGATAGAGGTATTTTGACATGGGATCAACCCGTTGAGGACGCCGATAACAATGACGGTAACCTGGTAAGCGGCGAGATGGTCTTCTCAGGAGATAAGCTATGGTGGACGCAGGGCGTCTTCGAATTCCGATACCACCACGACGGCAACCACAACGTCATGTCCATTTCCCAACCCTTCGAGATCCACATCAACCACTTCGACTACAATGACGTGGACGCGGATATCGAGGGCTCAGCCCAGCAGGCCATTGAGTCGGCGCTCCTGCCCGTGGTCCAGAACTGCCTTGATCGCGACCCGGATATTGCACCCAGTACTCCCATGGAGCCGTTCGGAAGCCATGTAGAGAGGGATGGCAAGTACGCTAAAAGATTGGTGTATGCTATCCACCAGATGTTCGGCATCGAGTTCGCACCGGCGGTGGTGCCTGCTGATGGAAACGTGAGGAATCTTGCTTGGAGGATATGTAATGCGAAGCAAGTCTTGGTAAGTGATATTTCTGTCCAAAAAAAAAAAAAAGGAAACGGTACGGCGTGACTAACATACATCTACCATAGGCTCCTTACAGTATGTCCTACTCGAAGGGAACGACGACGCCTGGGGCCGAGAAGTAGCTGTGCACCTTGGGTAATTATAAACATTGGGGTATTAGGGAGCATATGCAGGCATATATACACACATACATACTTTGTGGCAGTATCCCGTGCATCATGTAATCGAGTAATCATAAATATCAGCGGGGGCGGAGTGTTTGGTGTTAATGTTAGTGTTGGTGTTGGTGTTGGTGTTGGTGTTGGTATATTGGCGGTTTAGAAAACGATTCGTGTGTAGAGTTTTTTTGGTTGGCGAATGAAGAAATAAATGAATAGTTACTTAAGGCAGCTATTTTGTGTCCGATGAAAGAGATGATGATGCCTACCTATATGTGGTAGTCACGTAGGCAGTATATATGACGACCTCAAAAGACTATGGGGAAGTTACTTCGCTAACTTACCCAAGCATATACGGTCAATCACGAATCAAAAAGCACGCGCATTTATTCATCAATGATAGATAGTATTCAACAACTCTATAATACTCCCTCTTTTCCCCTATCTCATATCAGCTAAACCAAGCTCCCTACCTCACCTACTCAAAGCTAGCTTAGCCTAAACCAGGCGACCTAAACCCATCCTCCATCAACCCCATCCCCAACCCGGTTCCCCCCTCCGAACTCCCCTGGCCCGCCGCACTCCCACTGCCTCCCGCACGCCTAGCCTTCGCCCCGGCCTTCAGCTGCTCCCACTTCTCTCTATAGCGAACGAGGTTTGCCCTTGCTTTATTATAGTTGCGCTCCGTCTCCTCCATCTGCTTCGCCATGAGTTGCAGCTGTTCTTCTAGTTCGCGATTGCGTTTTGCGAGTGCTTCGTCTGATACCCCTGTGCCTGTACCTGTTCCTGAACTTAGGGTTGATATGGGTGGTGGTGCGGATGCTTTACCTGCTAGAGGAGAACTGGGCCGCATGAGGCGCATGCTTTCTGCGAGTCGCATGCCTGAGTTTTGGGACATTGACTCGAAAGCGTGGAGGCGCTTGCTCAGCTTGTCGAGCATGTCCTTGAGGCCTTTGTTCTCGAGGTATAGCTCCTCGACCATGTTAGCTAGTTCTCTATCTCGATCCGACCGCTTGCTAGCCAGTCTATGGGCGGCGGGTAAGCGAGATGCAGCAGCCTGGGATTCCTTTGCGTTGACGAAGTCGTCCTCGTCGGGGTCCTCGAGGAGAACACCCGCGCTGCCTTGCGCTTCTAGGCGCCTTTTCTCCTTGTCGGCAAAGGATAGGATGCTTGCGTAGGAGGCCGTGTGTCCGCTAGTGGGTACAACGTAGAAGGAGTCATTGGCAGATTGCCCGTCGCGGGATACAGCCCGCAAGGCGGCTTTAGAGTATAATTTCCGTAGGTCGGGTTCGGCAGAGACCGAGGAAGGTCCTCTGATTCTGTTACGTTTCTGGACTGGAGGCTCGGGGGCTGGAGCGGGAGCTGGGGCCGGAACCTCGGTTTGCTCTTCACTGATTAAGGGCAGTCCCGCAAACGCAAGTGGTGCAGAAATCCTGTTAATGATACTACCGAATGCGCTGTAGAACCTAGAGAAACCATCATCACTAGTTTGCTTATTATCTACTCGCTCCTGGCTTGATCTTTCGTCTTCTAGACTGGAACTCGACCGTCTCGAGAGTCTCCCTTTCCCTGGTGAAGTGGTAATACTTGGTCTGTCAGAATTGTCAAGCATGTTCTGCATTTTAGTTCTGGATCCACTTCTACGTGAGGTGGCCTCCATGTTTCCAGGGGCCTCTGTATTGGACACACTTGGACTGAGCGGCTGAGACCTGTACTTGGACCGAATTCCGCGGGCAGAGGCGAGATTGCTAGCAATGGAGGCCCCAAGGTCCCGCGGAGGATACCGCGGTTGTTTGGGGAGGGTTGGCGGAGGCTGCGCATTTTTCTCATTTGAAGTTCCGGTGGTATTATTCTTTGTAGACGGTGAAGTGGAGGCTACACTTGTGGCCGCTTCATCCTTTTCACTGGCCTGGGAATCATTTTCGGAGGCAGCCTGTGAAGTAGGAGGTTTGCTCGGAAGTTGAAGAAGTTCGGAAAGCCGCTGATGATGCTGCTCGAGCAGCTTCAAAGTGCGTAAAGCCTCAACACTGCTGGTATTCCGCGCGGCGTTGGCAAATTCACCAGCGGCTCTCGTATGCTCGTTGACTGCAACGGTGGTATCGGAGGAGTGGGTTGCTATAGATGCGGCTCTCGCATGATCATGCGCCTATGGTTCGATAAGGTGAGCTGCGGCAAATAACGAACTGCCTACGAAAGAATCACGGGGAAAAGATAGAAGTAATAATCCTACCTTGATTAAAGGAGCAGAGTCCATGGTGTGAAGAAGGCGAAATGCGTTCGCAAAGCCGAAGTCGTCAACTATGTTGGAGGGATTTCACGAGGGATTTCACCCCTCGTATGAGTACCTAATGTAATGTATGTATTTGAACGTTGAGAACTCGTTTATGACGATAAGCCTAAGAAAGTGGATGTCTCAAGCACGTCTGCAGTATGTAATAAAAGCTAGGGGCGTGCGAAGAAGAACGCATCTCTCCCATTTGCGAAGATCGGGTTGCGGAAGTTGGAGCGAATAGGACGAATAGGCAATAGGGCGGGGTGGAGGGGAGTTTAGGGGAGTTAGGGGGGAGAGGGGTCCCCAGTTAATTACATAAAGGAATTTTTAATGGTCAACCGGCACCTTCCAGCGGGTCAGCCAATTTGTCCTTCTAATTGGTACATTACTTACCTGCCGTGGGATAAGCCCGTGGGTAAGCCTGGTACTTGCTTTTAGTCGTATAACATTCGTATAATAAAGTACTGCGCGCCATGTGGGGTACTTTTATTTTAGGAGGTAACATCTTTACCTACCTAACCTATGTATCCCTGGATGGCAGATGCCCTGGGAGCTTAAATGGGAGCCTGGACTTAGCCAGTACAGTGTTACCAAGTTGAAATACAGTGGTACGAAAGTTGAAACTTGAATGGTGGGGTCATTCCGATTTGTGTCCTAATTGTGTCCCAATTGTGTCCCAATTGTGTCCCAATTGTGTGGCTGGTGAAATCTCACCTTTCCTTATTCAATTTACGATACAAGGGGCGATTTGGGTCTAATTCATGACGCCTATTTGCCCCGTCCGATCATTGAATGAGGTCGGGAACTTGGAGTGGGCTAGTCGTCTACGTTGCAATAGGAGTGATCATTGACCATCAACCCTTTTAATCTGCTCCTTTCATTATTTATGTCCTATTTAGAAATCGTAATATCATCTAGAATCGAGTTCAAGAATATCCTATCAGAATTATATCAGGAGAAGTGAAAGGGAGAAAAGGGACATTTAATATTAGTATCGACCTCTAAAGAGATCTCGGAGCCATGACGACAGAATCGAGATAAAATAGTAGTTTCTCGTTGCCTGGAGCATTCGAACCCAAACACCGACTTTCTAACCTAGTCTTTGTTTGTTTGCATATTCGCATCCTATTAACACCAATTATTCTGAGAGGGTGGAGGAGTAACTTTTAGCTTTCCCTCCTTTGTCTTCTAATAGATCTAGGATATAGTAACTTGCTGTGTTACCTCTATCGCTGCCGGCTCTCAACGCCGCGCGATCCTCGTCATCAGTAGCGACAGCTTCGTCATCATGGATGTCGCAGACTCTTCTAACCCCAGCAAGGTTGGGAAGCTCCTCCCCAAGAAGTTAGCAACAAAACGATGGAAGAAGCAACCTTCGAAGGAGAGTTTCGGTTCGACAGCTAGTAGCGAAGACTATTCTCGGGGAAGAAGCACAAGCAGTCTTGGTCTTAAGAACGGCTCTTTCTCGACTACGCAAGTCAACGAGATGGCAGACGACGACGAAGATGGAAGGGAAGAACCCGAAGAAAGCCCCGAAGCCTATTGTTCTGACCCTGAAGATGTGTATGTATTAATTATTTTATTTTATTCTTTTCTTCGTCTGCTCGCTCCATTTACAAAACACCCCCCTTTGGTTTCATTATATATGTACATCGTCATATCATATTATTACCTAGTTATTTATTTCTTGACGTTTCCCCTCTCTGCGACTCTATTTCTCGTAGTTAAATAAGCTACGAGACCCTTTACCCAACCCCTTTCGCTCGGTCAAGTTGGCCATCCTGGTTATGTACGAAGTACGGTTGGAATAAAAGGTAATTCATTCAACTTCGGGCATGTGAGAGAATCTTAGCAGATACGCATAGCTGAACTAATATGAAATATTCGCTCGGCACCCTGTTAAAAACTAACTGCCAGTCATCATCCTTGGCGGTTGTAAGCTAAGCAGTTCAAGTGTCATGGTGTTGTTAGTCAACTCCGCCTTGCGAGATCTGATCAATCATTAGTTTCAACACCTCTTCCGCATCCTGTACCCATCTCGTATTCTCTTTTCATTCGCTCTACCCACTTTGGTAACCCTGTTCGTTACCTTTCGTCATACCTATCATTTATTCTTCCTCCTTTATTTTCAAAGTACATGCACTACTTTTATTTATATAGCTTCACCGTTTAATTCTATCGACGTCGTGGAATTTGTGGCTTGTCACCTACTTGGTGTTGGTGGAGCTGTCGTCGAATCTAGCAACCAACTGGCTTTTATTGACCTAGTCATTCTTATAGGTCTGCGGCTCGGCCCACGGTCCCTTCAACGCATCCGTCCCAAATTGGGCAGTTGACAACTTCGTCACCCTTAATCCAGGCCGATCACCTTCCCGAAATACAGAATCAGAGCACCGACGATCTGACCAATACTTCACGATCTGCCACCTTCGCCGTTACGCCTATCCCTAGCTTTTCCTACGAGCCGGCTCGTCAATTGTCTCATACCAAGACCAGCTTACAACCACCCCAAACTCCTTCGAGCCGGTCGAAATCGCCTACTAGTAGATTTAGGGACGCTTTCAGAGGCAAAAGAAACGTGAGTGGTGCGCAGGAAGTTGGTAGCGACAGTCAGACAGACGTTGCCGATAACGAGGAGGTGAAGACGTCGTCCCGGAGGTCGACCGCCGGATCTACTTCTCGTCCAGGATCGAGCACGGCTTCGCAGTCTGATACCAGTGACAAGAAGATAGCTTCTTCTGCACGTGAAGGTCGATCAAAGAAACCACCATCCATCGATACTTCAGGTCGCCCTCTTACGCCGCCCTCGATCGAACCTGCAGCTCCGGTTATTGTTAATACACCGCCGACCCCGACCGAAAGCCATCGCTCGAGGAAGAACTCGGCAGCCAGTGCGAGCTCGGTCCCAAATGTGGTTGTCCAGCCTGCGGGTAGTATGATATCGAGCCGACGAAGGAGATCAGGATCAGGCACAAGCATTGGCCCAAGCAAGCTATCTAACATAACGTTGGCTCCTCTAACACCGACACCCGAAAACCCACCACTAACTCCTGGAGGCGGTTTTTTCTCGAGCATGCTATCTGCTGCACAAACCGCTGCCAACACCTTGAGTACCGCCGTTACCAACACTAATTTAGGATCGGGTGGCAACAAGGCCAAATCTAACGTCCCTAGAGAGACGCAACCAGGTGACGACGACAGGGTAGAAGTTGAGACATCTGCTGGACAGTTGGAGAATACTAATATGGGCGACAAGGAACCTGCCGTAAAAACCCTCGGAATGGGTGACCTAAGTTTAAGCCAGCTGGGAATCCAGGAGCCTGGAAGCATCGCCCCTACTCCGACCACTACTAAATTCTCCGACTCTACTACCGAATCAAGGACACGTTCCGAATCTGCACCCGTGGATAACGCAACCGCATCTGCTAATGGAGATGGCCATTCCGACGACCTGGCGGTAGGAGGACCACGATCCGTTTACGAGCCATCCGCTACGTCCCCCCCAACCAGTCTATATGAAGGTAAGTCAGGCCTTCAACGCAGTGGTAGCACTAAGAGTGCTCTGGCCCGGACAAGACGGAAACGCGGTAGTACCGGAGGAACCGCTGGAACTGGAACCACGATCGGTGCGGCCATCGCAGCAGCTAATGCCTCTGTAGCCCACCCTTCCGCCGCCGGTAGTACCCCAAAGCTCACAGGGTTTGCTGTAGCGAGTAAAAAACGCAACCGGGATTTCCACGTCTTGTTCAAAAGTGTCCCTGATGACGACTATCTCATTGAAGATTACAGCTGTGCTCTTCAACGTGAGATCCTCGCACACGGCAGACTCTACGTTTCGGAAAGCCACCTATGTTTCAGCAGTAATATCTTCGGATGGGTAACGACCCTGGTTATAAGCTTCGACGAGATTGTATCTGTCGAAAAGAGGAGCACCGCTCTCGTCTTTAGGAACGGCCTGATGATCTCGACGCTTCATGCTAAGCACGTATTCGCTAGTTTTACTAGCCGAGACTCGACTTACGATTTGATTGTTAACATTTGGAAGCTTGGACACCCTACCCTGCAGAGTTCGCTTAATGGGGTTTCGCTGGAGGGGACAGGCGGTGATAAGACAGAAAAGGTTGAAGATGCTGATGCTGCGGTCGGAAGCCGAAGCGGCACGGGATCCGAAGAGGAAGAGAGCGAAGACGGTGAGGATGTCTACGACGAAGACCAGGACGACGACGCGCTCGAGGTAGCAAAGACCACCGACGCAAGCCCCGCCGACACGGATGGTGAAAAGTCCGGCGGCAGGAAGGTATCTGGTGCAGTGATCGGCAACGGTGCTGTTGAGAAAACAGACTTTGCGCCTACACCCTCGGGAACCCCCGATTTCCCAGGACCGGCTACTCATGCACCGACGGATTGCGGCGATACAGATGCTCATTACGAAGTAGTTGTCGGCGACGATATTATCCCTGCTCCTCTAGGAAAGGTGTACACTTTGATATTTGGACCTGCATCTCCAGTGTGGATGGGGAAGTGGCTGACAGGCGAACAAAAATGCACTGACTTGCAGATGGAAGACAAGAAAGGACTGACCCAAGACAATAAGAGCCGAGGATTTACTTACATCAAACCTCTCTACGCTTCGATAGGACCCAAGCAGACCAAGTGTTTAGTGACGGAGACGCTGGAGAACCTCGACCTGGAAAAGAGCGTCAACGTGTTGGTTGTTGTGCAGAACCCGGACGTGCCTAGCGGCAACGTATTTAGTGTAAAAACTAAATATTGTCTCTCCTGGGCCGAAAACAACTCGACTCACGTGAACATCAACTGTACTATCGAATGGACTGGAAAGAGTTGGCTGAAAGGTAAGACTCGGGATCTTTCTCTGGTTTAATCGTTAAGTACTGACATTCGCAGGACCTATCGAGAAGGGGGCTAAAGACGGCCAAACCCAGTACTGCAAAGATCTTTTCGCTGCTCTAAAAGGAGCAGTTTCCACTGCGCCTCGTCCTGTAGCTGTTAATGGCGGAGCGGTAAAAGGCAAGAAAAAGCGAGTCAAGGGAAAGTTGCACCAAGCCTCTAAGGAAAGCTTGTCCGGCCCATCAGACTTGGTGGTGACGAAATCTCAAGACTGGGGCGTGTTTGAGCCGCTCCACGGTATCCTCGGTCCTGTGTTAGACATTCTCGGACCGGTACTTACCGGCAATGTTGTGTACGGACTGCTTGTCGGGCTACTAGTAGCGACATGGTTTGGTTTCGGATTCAATGGTCAACCGAGGGGTGCGCCGTACGGGCGTGATTTGGGTTTCATAGGATATCCGGACCGCGTCGTCGCGTACGATGAGATTTGGAGGCGAGAAGAAAGTGATTTATGGGACTGGTTGGAAGATAGGGTAGGCCTCCATCGCATGAACGAAGGGGCGATGCCCGTACGCAAACGGGTAATGGAGCCACGCACAGTCGAAGAAAAGTTGCGCGAGGAGCGCATGAACGAGCGAGAAGTCGAAGAAGCTATCAAGGTAACGGAGGAGAAGTTACAGGTTCTAAAATCTGTCATGGACCGAAAGAAAACACCTCCGAAATCCAGCGTTTATGGTAGACCAACTACCAAAGTACCGGCGACTGAGAGGTAGCGATAGGAAAAGGGGAAGACGAGGAAGAAGGACAAGCAATGAGTTTACCACACAGGCACACACAGACATTATCATCATACAACAGCAAGAAGCTACGACAGCCAATTCCATATGTCAGCAACCATAGCATACACGACGCCACGACGAAGCACATTGATTTTTATTATGTAACTCATAGCCTGTATTGTACATTTGAAAGTGTCAAATTTTCAGCTTCGTCTAGGTGTTCAGGGCGTAGGGGCTTCCGGGATTTGGCTTTAGACCATCTATTTTGTAATATAAGAGATAGCATTGCAACTTCGGAAGGGGTCTGTTATAGAAGGGTGGTAGGACTGATATAGTATACATTTTAGTTCTATTGACAGACTATTTGAATTGTGATGCTTATAGGAATATGACAATATGTAGCTGTACTTGGCTAATTGAATATGTACATACATGTAACCTAGAGCTTCCAGCCTGGTATTGTACCTAGGTACATAAGGTACGTACCTTACCATAGAAACCCGATAAATATGGGCACCACTTAACGCGTTACCAGGGCAGCTGCAGGGCATCAAAAACGCGTCTTCAATCGCGGGGTCCAGCTCTCAAAAGATTGCCAAGTACAAAAGTTACATCCTTCTCACCATTGATACACCGCGAATCTTCATATAATACTAAGTCTACCTTGACACCTTCGTAACTTACCAACCATTAAAAAATTACAACCCGGTCCATTCAGGTACACAATGGAGGACGAAGATATATCCCACCACTACGATAACAGCCACCGTGCGTTTCTACAGGCCTTTATGGCCCGCGGCACCATGACGTTCAATCAAGCTCAGCCCATCCTCGCTGCTATATTCACAGCCCACGACCAAGACGAGCACAAAAACGGGAACATGGATGAGGAGCCCGAAGTAACACGACCGGAACAGGTTACACGCGAAGACTTCGAGTCGTACGTATCGGCAGCATCGGCCGCTATCTCCCCCTTTGACATGGAAATCCGATCGACCACGCACCAAGTCTCCAAAGAGCGCGTGTATTCTCTTATAAACACGACTTCGGACCCCATGACACAACTCGCAACTCTGCGCTCAGCCGAAGAGATGGCATTTGTAAGGAGGGTGATCGACGCCATGTTCGACCGGTATAACTCCCCTAGAATGGAGGTCCTATGTCTAGACGGCATGCAAGCTAATAAACTGCGAACTGCGCCGCGCAACGAGGACGAGGGAAGCGGCAATGGCAACGGCGCGGGAGAAAATGGGTCGCAGGCTGTAAGTAGTCTGAAGGGCCTCAAGAGCAGCGAAGTAGAACAAGTCCTGCGCGGACTCGTCGACGAGGGGTGGTTTGAGCGCAGCCGCGCGGGCTTCTACTCGCTCTCCGCGCGCGCACTAACCGAGCTCCGACAATGGCTTGTCGACGCGTATAACGACACCGAAGCGGGCGATACCGAGTGGCAGCGCATCAAGTTCTGTGAGGCATGTCGGGAGATTGTGACAGTGGGGCAGAGGTGTGCGGAGCGCGACTGCTGCGTGCGGTTACATGATATTTGCCAAGAGGCGTTCTGGCGCACTCGGAAGGAGCGCGTGTGTCCACGGTGTAGTACGGGGTGGACGGGAAAGCATTTTGTAGGGGAGAGGGCGGTTACGGAGACGGAGGCATATCAGAGGGGGAGGAGACGGAGTGGGAGGGGAGGTGGACGGAGTAGTCTTGTGGAAGATATTATGGATGGAGAGGAGGAAGAGGAAGAGGAGGAGGAGGAGGAGGAGTGAGAGGACCTCTCCTTTCTTGGAAGTGGTGGTGATACCGCCTTTCTACATACTATACTTTTATATCGGTCTAGAACGACCGTTTAGAAACCAAAAAGGGAAGGGAATGGGATGGACATAAAATGGAGGTGTTAGATTAGATACCCTTGGACTTGTTCCCTGAAAATTAAATTACTACTACGTAACTATGCTTATGGGATATCATCTAGCTTGACTATCATATTTTGATTAATTATTAAGATAATTGTTAGGAAATATCTAAAACTCTTATCTTCAGCGAGGCCGCCTATGTCGCCACATAAGCAGCGTCTTAGGTAGGCCTAGGTACCTATGTATGTATACCTGCATGCATTTAGGTAAGGTACCTAACCTGTTCTATAAAGCTCTTGCCACAGCTAATTGTGGCTATGCAATGATGGTATCATTCCCGCTAAGCCAAGACTTCGGTACATACTTAGGTAAGCTTCCCTTCTTCCCTTGCTGAGTACATGTACGCATCTTACATCGCAACGTATTAGCCAATCATTTATGATCCGATATAAAAGGACAAAACAGGCTTGGAGGTATTAAGTTACCAGGCTACCCCTCTGCAGCAATTGGAGACCAATTCATCTTTTATCCATCCTTCTTTCTCCTTATTTTCTCTTCTTCTAATTTTGAAAAACATATTTTACCTCCCGACCTCGTCATACACTCGTCAAACATGCTCGAGTTCTTTACATACAAGAAACTTAAGAAACACCAGGATGAGAAGACTGAGAAGCAGAAACTAGAGAAGGAAAAAGATAAGGGCAAGGGAAAGGAGCAAAAGCCCAAGGGTGATGCTGTCAAATCTAGCGCCGATGCTATTCACCCCGAGTCTATTAGCTCGCCCGAGATTATCTTGGAGCGTACTGAGGGTATGCCTATTCTCGACCTAGAGGATGAGAAGTTTCTCGAGCGCCTGACCTCCCCATCAGATAGCAATATCAGTATCGGCGACGGCGACGAAACGCCACCACCTTTGCCTCCGCGCATCAAGACGCCTGTCATCGAGCTAGACAGCGACGATTCTAGTGTTGCCAGCAAAGATGAGAGCAAGCAGGACGTCCCTACTAAGGAGAAGCATAGGGGCAAGGACAAGGACAAGCACGACGGCGATAAACATGATCATAAACCCAAGCGCTTCTCCTTCGTCACCTCCCTCTCGCGCAACATATCTCTCCGACGCAAACCTACCCAACACCTCTCCGTACCCCCTTCTTCCTCCACACCCACATCCCTCTCCCCCTCCCCCTCCGAACGCGAAGTCAGCAAAGAAGAAACAGATATCGCCCGCGTCCTCGAGGACCTCAACCTCGCCGCCTCCATCGACAACAAGGCCTTCAGCCTCTCGCGCGAATCCGCCGAGACCCTGCGCAAATTCACCCAGGTTCTCAAGGACCTAGTCAACGGGGTACCCACCGCATACAACGACCTAGTCGGCTTGATTGAGGACCGAGACGGAATTCTGGCCAAATCTTACGATAAACTCCCATCTAGCCTGAAGAAGCTCGTCGCCCAACTCCCTGAAAAACTCACCTCGTCGCTAGCGCCGGAACTCCTGGCTGTGGCTGCGGAGGCGCAAGGATTGAAGGGTGCGGAGGTGATGAGTGCTACAAGGGGAAGTAAGGGCGATGCGGCGAAGAAGCTGCTTGGTTCGAGTAATCTCCTAGAATTGGTGACGAAGCCGGGTGCTGTAGTGGGCTTGCTCAAGGGCATCGTGAATGTGTTGAAGACGCGGTGGCCGGCATTTGTGGGCACGAATGTGCTATGGAGCATTGCGGTGTTTCTTTTGCTGTCCGCGCTATGGTATTGCTATAAGAGGGGGCGTGAGACAAGGTTGGAGAGAGAGGCTAGCGAGGGGGCAGGGGCGGAGAGAGAGGTGGAAGCGGAAGTGTTAGTGGAGGGAACGAAGGAGGGTGGGAATACTGAGGCCAATGGAGATGTGCCTCGTATTGAAGGAGTGCCGGATCAGCTGCGGCAGCAGCCGACAGTGTCTGTATCTGCCCCGGCGTCTTAGGGGGACAAGAAGAGTGGTGGTGAGCAGGTGACACATACCGCTGTCAGTTTTCTCTATCCAAAAAGGCTCGCCATAGGAAAAAAGAACCCGAAAAAAGAGGGGAGGGCAAGAAGCGCAAGGGGTTGCTATGAGGACACGAAAGCAAACTACACGATAGGACGGGTTACACGAGTTACGATAGATAGGTACATGATGGAGATAGATACCCGGTTTGGTCGATATGTATACCTATACATCTAGGAATAAGAATTCTGGTATGGGACGTTGCGATTTGATTTGCGGAAAGCGAAAACGGAAGGAATGATGTTTAGGTAGATATGAGTAATGATAATACGAATGATATAGCATCGTGGCAGACAGTCTTGTGTGATCTAATATTGTAGTCCATTCGGTCCAATGGGTCGCGGTCCAATAGGGGAATGAACTCTGGAAGAGCCCGTGGGGACAGACGGAGCCAACTTCCCCTACAAACACGATATTCTATACCCGTCAGCCAGCTACTTCCTTCATAACCAGCGCCGTACATAAGAGACGCATCAGGAAACTGTTTAAATCAGGCGAATCAGAATCAGAATCAGAATCAGAATCAAAATCAAAATCAAATTACAATTGGGGTATTTCCCTTAATCCGTAGGCCTAGCTTATCTGCATCTAAGCATCGACATGCAAACAAAGGCGAACTCCTTCGCATATGCTTCTCTTCTCTGCTAATCTCTTCGCGAGACGAACTCCTTTCTTAGCCTGATATCTAGGAGGCCTCATTACCGCGCAGCCGTGTTGGTAGCTTAGGTAGGTAGGTAGCCACACGAGCCTACGCTCCGCATGCGAAGGTCAAGACTCGAAATAGCCTGGCCACTCCTCTCCCAACAAATTCATACGTCGGCACCCTCATATCATCTAGGCTCTCACCCCTCCCTCGCATTCAACCCGTAAGATGGGCCCTCCATCAACCAAACCGCGACAACCTAAGAGAAGCCCGGCGACCAATAACAGGAACCGTAGAGCCGCGCCGCAACGCATGCTAGTCGTCCTGGACGAGCTCTTTGATCTCCTCTCTACCAGGGGCAATCCCCGCCGTAGTCTCGGCCTTGGCATCTCTACCTCCAGTACGGTCAATAACGCGGGCACCGTCCCGCATCCAGAAGTCGACTTCGTCCACTATATCCGCAACCACATCCTCGACAATCTGCTCGTCGTAACGCTCTGCTACAGGCCGGATCTTATCCAGGGATCCATTCGACGGCGCTGAGAAAACTGCTACTGTAACAGTGTCCGCATCTACCATGTCCACGTCGCCGTCTCCATCGGAATCGAGGAACTCGGGAGGCGGATACCAGAACTGCGGGCCGAAGTTGACTTCGGCAGCACCGCCCCGAAACACACTGATTGCAGGATAGTACCCTGCCATGCCGTCGTCCATTCCCTCGCGGGCACCAACCTGAACCTGGGGTTTGGAGGCCGGGGGCAGAAAGGCGAGCAAGTCAGTGAAGGGGGTACCTATTAGCACGCCGTTCTTGTATACGCGGATACAGGAATTAGGCAGCGTACGTAGAGCCGGGACCTGGTGGTTTGGATTAGGCCTATCAGGAAGTCTGCTACCGATGGTGCCCGAGGGTCCTGCAGGCGACGGGTTCATGAGGTCCTCGAGCTCCTTAGTCGTGTGGTAGTCAATTTTCTCCAAGTAGATGTGTTGCTTGAAGCGGATGGGTATTCGGTCCCGGACGATATTGGCCGCCTCCATGATCGGGTCTTCCTCGTCGAGTAAGTCTACGGCTGGATTGTATTGGCCTTGCACGACCTTTCTGTGAAGATGCTCTGACGGCAGCTGGATCTCGAGTCCGATCACGTCACCCTCCTTAATTTCTTCGCCGGGCGGGAAGAAGTCTTTAGGCCGTGACATATGAACCTTCTGACCCTGCACGTCTCTGATACCGTAGCTGTAGGCGTCAAACCCGACCGGCGCGTCCAGCGAAGCTTCCCGTCTCGCGAATCCTATACGCACGTGGCCATGCGATTCGACGCTTCCATCCACATTGCTCTTGATAGTACCTCTCGTAATTTTACATTCCCAATACCAACGGCCCTGGCGCACGGCAACATTAGCCCTCGCCGTCCGAAATCCTTTATCTGTCGTTATGTGCCGCCCTAATTGGTCCATGTACATGTGCGTAGCAGCATCTTCGAAGCTAATGTGGGCACCGTACGGTTCGGGTTCGGTCTGTCGGTAGTAGAATGAGGAAGGGAAAGCCGGGTCGGCTATGCAATGTAGGTAATGGAAGCTCTTCTTGTTAAAAACACTACGCGTAGGTTAGCAAGCGGTAGGAACAGTGCAGTATAAAATGCGACGTACTGTTCGGAGGTCTCGTAGAATTGGATGGTAGAACCATCCGGGGCGGTAACTTCGTGATGGGGAGTAAAGACTGGGCCTCGGGCGGTTTCGAAATCAGAGGGCCGTGGAGGTGCTAGTTTGTAACGCAAAGGCGAAGACTCATTCGGAGGGAGTTCCTTAATCTTGGGATCGGGTGTAGCTCTGGAGCTGTCGACACCTAGTCCAACTTTGGACTCTCGCTTCTTCAGGGCATCTTTTTTACTTCTAGCAGGTTTCTCACGCGCCATGGCGAGTACGTCGTCATGCGACTGGGACTTGTTAGGTTTTAGGTCAGGGTTGGGATTAAGAGGGGAGGAGACGGGGGGCGCGTAGTCGTCTTCGAGAGGTCGTTTCTGGGGAACAGAGACAGGAAGAACAGGAATGGGTACGGGTGTAATTTGCCTTTTTGGCAGATCCACGTCGGTAGCCATGGTGACTAAAAAAGGGGATCAATTGAATTTAAATATCTACTCTAGGCTCTTTGAACAAAGTATGGTGCGATACAAGTGCTAGGATCAAGACGAGAACAGCATTTGGAAGAAATGTGGTGGAGTTTGTTTAAGTGATCGGAACCTTGCTGCGGCTCTAAACTTTAATGTCCTAGGTACGGATTACACCTACCTAATATAATATAGGCATATCAGATATTCGATCCTTCCTGATCTTAATGTTGCATTTATCTACAATATTTATCTACAATTAGGTACCTGTCGACCACCAATTTAACGTTCTGACTTTCTATTATCAAATAAAAAATAATAAATAATAAATACGTAGAATCATTTAATAGTAACCTTATGTAAGTAGACATTGAAGTATATTACCTATGTAGCTGCAACTTTGTATATGTAGTGGGCCACATTAGCTGCACTGTTCTTAACAATGGAGAAGAAATCAAAAGGAGCATTGACCCTTCGCCGGGACATAGCATGAACGTCTCACAAGAGTTTGTCGTATGAGTTCTCAATGCAAGCAAGCTGTACAAACAAAAATGTAAACAGCAAGTTACAAAAGAACAATACTTGCTAAATGAATAAAATAAAATAAACCCAAATATTTGCAAAAAGTATTGCGACCACCACGGGACTCGAACCCGCAACCTCAGTCTTTCACTGCCTAAAGATGACGATATACGTTATTTTTAGGAGGACCGCGCGCTACCATTGCGCCAAGCAGTCGTTTGTTCGTAGGCTCAAGGGATGTAATTGTGCCACAACACGACTTGTTCGCATGAAAGCTCGATCGGTTATTTAGTCTTATATCCGCTAATAGAAAAGGCCGTTCAATCGTTGCGGGGCGGGTTGCTAGTGTAAGACATGATTTGAAGAAAGAAGTAAGTATTGGGGTTGGTTGCGTCATTCACTTTAGGCTTTGGGCTTTGGCAATTAGAAACTACTGTCTGAATTTTAGAGGGGTAGGACAAACCCCTTGTAACTGCAGTGCGGAGTAAGTTCGTTAAGTTCATATCACATTTGGAACATGCTGCGGTTCGTATGATGCTACGAACATTGAAGTATTTAATTTAATTACTAAGATTTTAAGGTTTTGCTTTCTGTACCTAGGTAGGTAATTTAATAAAAGGATGTACCTAATGCAATATGTTTTGATGCCTACATGTACATGTAGGATTTGAGTGTATATACGTAATTATAGCAGCATCAACAATATATCGCCAAATCGGATACTCATATCGAAAGTAGAGTATATTCTCACCAACAGACCCGAGAACCGACTATTTATGCAGTCTGCTGCCAACCGCCAATTTAATCTACTTCGGATATGTCACCATTTATCTTGCTCGCCTCAGGACTCGGTTCGTCCCAGAACGTCACGCACGTAGCAACCGCATAGTCTCCATCATGGCTGATACTGATGCGCCCATACATATCCCCAGTGCCGTGACCCTTGATAATGGCCACAGGTCGGCCCGTTTGTCTCAGCGATCTTATTTCCTGGAAATCTAAAGGCGAAATTGCTTGCTCCTTTGGCGACTCGGCTAGCTGATGTTCGTAGGTAATTACGATATCGTGAAAGCTGACCCTGTGGGCACTGCAGGATTTTATTACTGCTTCCTTTGCGGCCCATCTGATATATTTATATGTAAGTCAATTTCATCGAAGCAAGCTCTTGTACAGTGCTATACCGACCTTCCAGCCATAAATCTAGCCGCAGTCGCTACTGCAGGAATCTCTTCCTCGATATTTCCATTTGGAAACAGCTCAGGCTCCGGAAGGTACCGGCGCGAGTAGATGGGTTCGAGGACATGAGACGCGCCCCGAATGGAGTTTATCTCGTCTTTAGTGAGGAGGCGATGAATGAAATTAGAGCCTTTTTTCTGGGCTATTATTTTATAAATCCTGGAGATCTGACATATATCAGTGCCGACGCCGAATGAAAATGGAAATTTTCTAAGAGACGTCATGGTGCATCGAGTGCTGCTAATCCGTGAAATGATAAAAAGATACCTAGATGTTATTATAAAGAGACCAAGACGATGACCTAATCTAATCGCCGATTTACAGTAAAAATCAACTGGTTCAATTATTGTTATTCCACGCTCCACATGTATTTCTAACCGTCAATGTAACCGTCAATGTTATGATTGATGAGATATAAATTAGGATCTCTTTTTTACCTACGGGATGCTATGGTTGATGATGACTGATACAACGGAAGAATTGTTAGTTTAACTGGTGCTGGTGACTTGAACATCTCGCTCTCCATATCTAACCCGATACCAACGCCGTCGCATCAATCAAAACAAAACAAAAAAAATATAAAAATAAAAACACCCGAAATGATAGGATGCGACATCACACATTCTTCAAACGAACACAGTTTTATTCATTGGCACAATCCCCTTTTCGACAACCAGCGCATCACTCATAAGAGATAATTCTCAGGATCTCATCCTACGGATTTCTCTTAATTATTCTCACCAAGGAGCGGAGCTCGCTCAGTATCACCATTGTGCGCCGTCGCGAATTTTGCATTTCTTCCGGCAGGCACGGCAACTACAATAGTCGCTACGAAGAGAATCGCCATGATAATGAAGGCGAATATCCACTGGAACGCAATAACTTGTCGGAGGAACTGGGAAACACCAATTGCTGCTGATAGGACGCTCAGGTTGAAGCCCATGGTGTAATCCTAGGGAATGTTAGAACCCTGTACACATACTAAGAAAGCTATTGGTAAGACTCACCTTGTAGATAACAATGTAAAACAGACCGTACGCTAGGATCGACCAGATAAAGATGTTACCGAAAATACGTGCAACAAGCGAATCCGGGTGAGGAACCATGATAGCGCCGTTCCAGTAGATCGCAACGAACGTCCACGCCAGCGGCCCCGAGACAACAGGATAGTGGATGAAGCGAGCGTATCCGAGGTGGCGGAAGTACAGCGAAGTTAGATTAATGAAGTTGAGAATAATGAACAGCTCGGCCCAGCCGAACAGGGAGCGCACGAAAAGCATCACGAAAGCGAAGTGGAACAGGTTGTTCACGATGAAGTGGCTTCCCACTGAGCATGCTTCGTTCACGCGCTCGACGGTGCCAGAGAAGAGGTGGACGATGTAGCCAGCCTGGAGTATGAACAGTACAATCCTAGGATATGTCAGATTGACTATCTCGTGATAAAGGGAAGTATACGACTGTGCCTTACCAATAGATGCTAGCGATAATATAGTTCATCCGGAACGCCGTATGATACGCATCGTTCTGGTGCCATATTTTCCGGCGAGGCCAGACGCCGTCATGGGGCGAATGGATAGTATAGTAGACCGAGACGACGATCGACAGCAACCAGGTGATGGTCGTCAACACCTTGTCTATAACGAGTCAGAATCATACTTCGGAATTCGTCCTCGCTTTCCGAGTAAGTGAGTATACAAAACAGATGTTAGTCATGACATACTGTAAATAAATTAGCTTCATTCATGACGAAACGGCGTTACACATACCAAGTAATGATAGTATTCTTTGTGTGGGTATCGCGCTTTGCGAACGGGTTTACTAATAGGTAGATAAATTAGTATGTGTTCCAACGTCTTCATCCATGTGCCCACAATCCAAAATGAAGTGTTCACATACTATGATGAATTCGCTCCATCGTGGCTGTAGCTTTAGCTTACGATCGGTTCGTATAAGTGAGCGAGGTAAGATGGAGGTGGTAAACCGTAAAAATGGGACGACGGATTGTGGATTTTATTATTCGAACACTACAACTTAAATCCCAAAAATATCCCTACGAGGAATGCAAGGAAGAACAGCAGGAGGTTTAAGAAGATGAAGAAAAGGAGGACCCCATTGGAGTTTTAAACTATGGACAGTCGACGCACAAAAAAAAGTATCCGATACACCTTCGAGGTCTAGGCTAGGCTTGGATGACGATGGTGGGGTTCCTTTGTTAATGCAGGATAATATGCGGGGAGGCTAGCGGGTGTGAGAAAGTGGTGACGTTGATAGGCACGGGTGCCTGAAGACTACGAACCTATCATAAAAGCAACTATCTTGTCTGTATGGGTTGAAGTAGAAAAACCGCCGTCCAATGCTCACTGAGTACTCCACGTATCACTGAAGCAGGATTTTGGCACCCTCCTTGCATCTGCGAGCATGAAACACGAAGCGCAAACAACCTATAAGATCCAGATGCCCGATCGCTCGCGTGGACTGTTACATGGCCGACGAACCATTGCTCCGGAAATAACTATTTAGCACTTACATGCGAGTTAGCAAGTGGAGGGTTCAAACGGGTTCTTTACGCTACCTATTTCGAAACTGAATGGCGAATTGATGAATATATTAGGTAAGAATGGAGGTTAGGATACTACCCGAAGTTGTACTGTGCCTCTTAAAAACGATCTATGACGCTGCATTGCTACACGCACGGATTACGAACCGTAGACGTAATGCCTTGTAAGACGATCGAGATGGGTTCCTGTCACGAGGAAATTAAGACTAGAAGTAGTTAGACGTGGCTGCAGGATTGGCATTGTGTAAATTATCTAGGACGACGAGGCTTTGTTCGGATACCCTGTGTAGCTTTCTTACATACCAGCATACCTACCTAAGGTAGGTAAATTTGGAAGTGAGTCGTGGAGTGAGGTCGAATGGTTCGCTTCCTCCTCTTACCTTCCAGGTACTAACCTAGATAATATATCATTTATTCATATGACGGTAAGAAGAAACGATGCGAGTACGAAGTTGTTCTTAGCATAGGGAGCATTTAGTCCGGCGTGTACGATCGAAGACAGGCAAAGTTTCAATAATACTGTGTTGTGCGACGCGAGCAGGCAATGATTACTTGAGAAGCAACAGGCTTGGCTCTGCATAGGATAGAAGCTTGATCGAGCAAGCTACGCAGTTTCTATTGGTCGGAGCCAACAAGCTGCGGGGTGAGGCGAGACACCGTTGCATCACGATCCTTTCGCCCCGGGAGTTTTATCGTGGCAAAGATTTACTTATTTTCCTGCCGTGGCCTGCGACTATGGTCTGTCTTAAAGAAGTCAATCATATGCTATATCATGACGAAGTAGTAGTATGGTGATTAGTTCGGAAATGATGAAAACGATCCTCTGGCCTATCGGTATCTCATCATATACAAGGAGTTCCGGTTTTCACTCATTCCTAATGACCATATTTACCATCAATTGACACTTACAAGGACAATCGTATTCAAGATGAACTATCTACTCCTATGAGAAAACTGGTAATGTAAAACAGTAGTCTATACCTGCTTTTCGTTAATATGAGATATTTAAGTTACGTCAGCCAGAATTTTACTGTTGTGTTTTCTATAATGACTGGCATATACCCTCGGGATTAATAATACTAGCTACCGTATAGCTACGGGGGTTTATTAATAGTATCTAATAAAGCTAAGTAGCGGGACGTATGGATTTGTGCGTTCTGTTATGGGACGTGATTAAATAAAGCTGTTGGGAATGAGAACAGTACCTACGAGTTCTACTTCGAGAATGTTTAATCGCGTCAAATGAAAAATAAAAGTGATATGGCCTGTAGTGTACTTTGGGCTTATATTCATTCATATGTAAGTGAAGTCTGTTCGACGAGGTTATACTATCTGTCTATCCTACGTGGGTTTAAGGCCTTTAGATAGAAAGGTTCCACGAGATCACCTCAGAAACACTAGAATCATAGTGAGACATGACACTTCTTCGCGAATTTTACACCTGCGGGCACGCTTGCCAGTTCCAAAGCTATGGCTACAAACACGGAGCAATAAATGAACTGTATGAATAACTTATAAGGACCAACGTACATGCGTCAGTTCATAGCTAGTAAAGGCTAGGAGCGTTGTGTACTTACAAGCTCTCTGTATAGAACCTACCACTGAAGAAGTTGAAGTAAGTAATACAAATAACTACCACCAGTGTTGAAGAAACGTTTAGATATAAATAGTATGTGCCTACTTAAGAATATACCAAAAACGTTGAGTACTGATATGATCCCTATAGTGGTATCGACAGGACTAGAGATCGAGATATAACATCCGATAATAACACCATATAAAGAAACAATGTCTACATGTACCTTGATGTAGAATTAACTACATTAATCTACCGAAGATATACGATTCTGTCTTAAAATCTATCCATACAAACGGCACAACCAAGGTCTAATTTATATGTTGGGTTCACAAGCGACCAGGCTAGCTTTATCTTATATCACCGTCGAAAATGCCTTCAGATGGCTTACTTAAAGAAATATGTTTACTACTTAAACTTTTCGAACTCGGCATGTCCGGATGAGCTGGCAATGAAGAGATTGAATGTTGTCAACCAAGTGACATGCGGCCTGGATTTACTTGCACTCGGACAGGAGTTTTCCGCTTTCTCCTGTCCAGTCATCCGTTAGGATCAGCGACGGTACAAGTTATCTCTCGTCTAGGTACATACACTACGCCGTATTGGCCTAAACTGGGATGCGCGGACCAGGCGGTTTCAAGCAACGGCTAGATATCAGTTGTCAATAAAGTGTTAGTAGTAGTTGGTTATATACTACGCTTTCTCCTACGTTCCGTTGTTGTAGAGATTTCACCATGAGCCGAGAAGAGCTAGGACAGCAATCACAGCCCGCTTGTCAGGCTGTCAAGACGGTTAAGATAGGTCTACGACTGTAATTGATGAAAAAGTCCCTGTAAAAAAGGATGGCTGATTAAAAGGGCTTGTTATACCGCCCAGGACTAATGCGAAGAATAAAATACAATTCTGCTTATGATGACAGTCATGCACTAGGGAACGCAGGTAAATAGTAAAGATTCAATGAGTAGATTGATTGTATTCTATCTATTCTCGACCCTATCCCATTGTAAATACCGGCTTCCCTATAACAATGCAGGTATAGATACCTCAAGGGCTAGGATAGTAATGAATATGACCACCACCTGTAAAAACACATAGAATATGGAGGGATGGGTATAAACGAATAGTTTTATCTCGGAACTGATGGAAATATGGGTTACTGGGCAATTTATGCAGATCTGATGCGACATGATATGCCAAAATACCTACCGAAGGTCGTACGCCTACCGAGGCCTGTTTTGATTCATTTGCGACGTGGGACGCGGCCCTTCAAATTAATAACCGGTGTGATGCAAAATACATATGCACCCCAAAGACTCTATCGGGCTTTACCCCGAGATTGACTGCTAGCCAGGTGTGTTGAACAAGTGTGACGAGGGGTAGGTAACCTTAAACCCGAGATGGATAAAAAAGAGTGATTTTATGATGGCATCGGTATCAAAGATGCAGATAAACTTCCAAGTTCTTCGACACATTCCGTAAGTTGTAGGATTGAACCGTCTTAAATCGTTTATCATGTTGCAATACCCATGGCGCTTAAGGTTCTCATGGCGTCCGATGTCTCATCGAGCCACGTTTCTCTTTCTAGGGAACCGTGGTCGGCGAACGAAGCAGTATGGACATATGTAGGGATTCACCCCTTTGGCGGGGCTTCGGTGGGCCGGTTCTTTCGGTTAGACCTTACTATTTCAAATTTGTTTTTTCTTGACTTAGGTAGTAAGATATACAATCGCTACTTCTTTCAAGGTCAAGAAAAAATGTCTCAGGAGGCTCTGATGTTTAATACCCTTGTTTTGAAGAACCAGTCTTCGCGGTGTTCTTCTAGAAACCGAATTACCAGGCTAAATTTGCGCCGAGAGCTTAGGAAATGGATTGGAGAAAGGGGAGAGCAGGCCCCGATTACGTACCAGCATCCGTGTCGGAACTAAGTTTGGCCAATCACAAAGGATTGTATTAGTTATCGCCTGATCTGTCCTTCCATTTCAGTCTTCGTAACGATAAGAGAAACTGCAGGTGATTCTGTCTCCGGCGATCGGCAGCGCAACCGACGGTATTCATCTGTGAAGGAAAAGCGGAGTTGGAAGGCCACAATAATCCAAGGTCCTAGAGAGGTTCTGACACCGCTGGTCTCCTCCCGTATCTTTTATAAACCAACTCCCGCGATAATCTTCATTCACCTAGAACCCTAGAACTCTTTCATCCGAAAGCATCCTAATTCCATATTCAGTATCATTAGATAAAAATAGTTTATCCTAGGAAATCCGAATTAAACCATCGCAATGGATCGCTTCGAGCAACTTGTCCAATCCATCAAGGAGGAATTGGGACCATCTTCCGGGTTGACTTCTGACGATGTGAACGTAGACCACTTAACACATATGATGGATCGATATATCTCTAACGAAAAGGAGTGGTCCAAGTATGCACTAGCAGACGCCAATATGGCATATACCAGAAATCTCGTCGACGAGGGGAACGGCAACGCAAACTTGGTAAGTCATAGCGCCCTGCCTCTGGTCGGATTGCCAGATGTTCGTAAAATGTTGTACTAACCGAGCCAGCTCGTGCTAGTTTGGACTCCAGGGAAGGGTAGTCCGATCCATGACCATGGTAAGGCTCATTGCCTGATGAAGATTCTCCGCGGTAACCTTACCGAGACTCGATACGACTTTCCCGACGGCGACAACAAGAAACCGATGCAGCTCAAATCGGAAACGGTGCGCAAGGAGAATGCCGTAGCCTATATGGCGGACGAACTTGGACTGCATCGCATGTCCAATGAGGGTAGCGACTACGCCGTCTCCCTACACCGTAGGTCCCCCTTTCGAGCGGAATATTTCGTGCCACTTGGCTGACGTTAATAGTATACACCCCGCCGAATGTGGCCAAGAACGGCTGCAACATCTTCGACGTTAAGACGGGAAAGATGACGCATATTTCCAAGTGCGGCCACTATTCAGAGCATGGGAAACGAGTACAGGACTAGAACACTTGTAAGCTATGATGATATTACGAAGCAGGTGTATGGAGTTTTTGGGGAGGCTCTGGGATCATGGTTTGGTTGTTTTCCCTGGCGAAGCAAGATTGGGTTATCGTCAACTTGACGGAGATTTTGGCTGTTCGTAGAATAATGTCACATAGAATCCAGTTCTATATGAATGTCGATAAAGGGATTTAAGTACCTAGGTACTTCATGTTCCTTAGAGGGAGTAATATGTAGAAAGAGTTGATGTATGATAATAAATCAAACTTGCGTTTCTATGTATCAGTTCGAAATTCGAGAGAGTAGTTAAGAGTTAAGAGACTGGATGAAGTGAAGTTGAAAAAAGAAGAAAAGTCGTGCTTTTGCGGCTCTTTTCGCAATATTAGCATTGTTCTATCATGTTGATTTGGCCTAGCTCGGATTGCACCATCGCCATGTTGTTTCATTCGTCGGGTGTTGATGATGAGACCTTCACTTTGCCGTACTGTTTGTTTACTGTACTGGGAACTGTGCCGATATCCGCTGTACAACACATACGGCATCCGCAAAGAAGTACCTACATGGCTTGCATGATACATATCGGGAAATCCTTATGTACCTAAGTACAATGTACATGCATATCCGTCCTCTCGTTGGCCAATTAATCCGGAATAGGTAGGTGAGGCCAAAACAGAACATACATGTATGTCTTATACACCGAATACCTACACGTAAGCAGACTATTAAACAGCCTAAAGGAAGCAACGCTCAAGGCTTGTCGTTACTGTTAATGAGATCTTCATGTAATGCAACTACCTGATCATCTCATATATGCGTCATAGCTATTGCTGTAGCTGCAGGGGCCCTTTGATGAATTATCACGTGAGTACGAGATGCTTAGTTTCGTAAGACTTTAACCTAGGGCAGTCGCGTTTGTAAAGTTTACTGTTTGCGCGTCGAAGCTAATATCATTCTGCAAATGCTAAATTATTTTCTTGTTCTCTGGAAAGAGCAATCAATTGCAAGATATATTGATGTGACCTAGATGAGACAGGCTAAACCGTATTCGGTTCTCAAATTCGGATTGAATTTGTTTGACAGAACGACTTACAACGTACATACTGCCCTTGTTATTTTCGGCTAGTTTTAGCTACGATGGCGCCGGCAAAGCGTCGCCCTACTGCATATCCGGCAGGAGAACCCCTATCCAAATCCGCCCGCCATAACGATGGAACTTCTGCACAATCCTCAAGTCAAGCTCCTGGTTCCCAAAGTTCCCAAAATTCCTATCCTCATCCCTCAGCTCCTCCATCCTCTCTTGGTCACGCTAATCGGCCCGCACCGAGATCATCGTGGATCGTGGTTGATGACGACGATGATGATAATGGCGTTCCCGACCCGAGTCAAAACAATGAAGATCCATTTTCTTCATATGAACTCTATGGAACTTTGGACAACAAAATCGTAGGCGTTCGATATTATGACGGGGTTGTAAATCCCGGCGAGAAGGTCCTCTGCAACCGCGACCCAGGCAACCCCTATGACAGCAATGCCATCCGCGTTGATAATGCCATGCGGAATCAGATTGGGCACTTGCCTGCCAAACTTGCTGAAAAGCTTGCGCCGTATATCGACAGAGGCGATATCATCCTAGAAGGTATTCTCACAGGCGAGAAGGAAACTTTTAATTGTCCTGTTCGTCTAATTTTTTACGGCACTGGCGACCCTACAAGTCGTGTTTTGTTAGAGGAGAAGTTGAAAGCAGATAAACTTTTGAAAGCTACACAGCTCAAGACTACTAGGAAGGAGGCGGAAGCCCAAAGGAATGCCGCTATGCGTCTAAGATGCAACGCATCTACTGTGGGCTTAGGGGCTGAAGATGGAGAGGGAGAGCAGCAACAGTCGCTCCAAGAGTTAGCGGCGGACAGCGAAGCTGTGCGATTCAGAGGTGATCTTAGTTCCGTTGATATGTTTGCACTGGACGAAGACTCCCTTTCTAAACTACCTAAGGCGGCCCAGCCTACAAGCGTCGAGTCAACACTGTTGCCGTATCAGCTCCAAGTAAGACGCATCAACTTCGTGTTTTATAGGGCATACTAACAGTTATTACAGGGATTAGCTTGGATGGTAGCCAAAGAGAATCCACAACTTCCCACCATGGGATCAAAGGAAGTTGTCCAGCTGTGGAAGCGCCATAGTAACGGCAAGTTCCTCAATCTGGTGTCCAACCATATTACAAGCACACCACCGAAACTAGTCTCGGGTGGTGTGCTTGCCGACGACATGGGCCTGGGAAAGACTCTCCAGGTCATAAGCTTGATTATGACGAGCGGTTTCAGTGAGGGTCCAACCCTAATTGTTGCACCGGTAAGTGTCATGAGCAACTGGGAACAGCAGTTCGAACGACACGTAAAGGAGGATCAACGCCCCCGTATCTTTAGGTACCATAAAGCTGGTGCATATTCTAAGAACGACCTGCTGAACCATGACGTTGTTATCACAACCTATGACAAACTACGCAACGATCAGGCTAGTAAGCGAATATTGCTTTCAGTAGAGTGGCATCGGGTTGTCCTGGATGAGGCTCATGCTATCAGGAATTTTTCGACTTCCAGGGCCAAGGCTGCATTCCAGCTGAAGGCTAAATCTCGTTGGATGTTGACTGGCACACCAATGTAAGTCTGTTTTAATATGACTTACTTTCAATTGTTTGGGCGATGACGCTAACCTGTCCCCTGTAGCGTCAATTCGCCCAAGGACTTCTTATCGGCTCTGAAGTTCCTAAGAATGACTGGAGGCATTGAAGAGACTACATTCTTCGTAAACCTAATCGATAAACCTCTATCGAATGGCGAAGAAGGTGGGGTGAGCGATAAATTTAAGCTCGCCAAACAGCTATTCCAGTCATTGACTCGAGATCTCTGTCTTCGCCGGAGGAAGGATATGAAGTTTGTTGACTTGAAGCTGCCTTCTAAAACCGAATATATCCACCGTATTAAATTTAGAGATGATGAGAGGGTTAGATATGATGCTTTACTGTAAGGGCCAGGATCCATTCTCAGGCCACATACATAATCACTAACAATAGGCTATTAGTTCGGAAACTACGGAAGCATTAGAAGCGTATCAACGCAGAAGGGAACATCGAAACAACCGGCAAGGCCCCCAGATACGATTCACGAGTGTCCTAGAGAAACTCCTGCGCCTGAGGCAACTGTAAGTGCCTACTATACTGTCTTGAGCATATTACCACAGTGGGATCACCCCAGTCTGTTCTAGCTAACCACTAGGTCATAGATGCTGTCATTGGACGTTGTGTGGAGGTCGGGTGAAGGATGTCTTAAGACCTCTCGAAAGCAAGAAAATTGTTGATTTCACTCCGGAGAACCTCCAGGTTCTGCAGCAGGCTCTTTTAACTGCCAATAATGAAGGTGAAGAATGCCCTATCTGTACAGATGCAATCAGCATCCATGAGCCTGTCATCACGGCGTGCAAGCACCGTTTCGGGAAGCCTTGCATCGCGAGGGCCCTCGAAAGAGATACTAGGTGCCCAATGTGCCGCCAACCGTTGACCTTGGAGGCTATTGTTGGACTCGAACCGGTGAACGTTGAGAACAGATTTAACGGTGACACGCGCAGCTCAAAAACAGAAGCTCTGGAGAAGATCTTAAAAGCAAGGCTCGAAGATCCAGAATCCAAGATTGTTGTATTCTCGCAATGGACTTCCTTCCTTGAAGTTATCTCAAAATTACTAGATGAGATCGGATATAAATACTGCCGCCTTGAAGGCTGGATGACAGCGGCTCGGCGTGACCAATCGATAGAAGCCTTGAATAACGACCCGAGCACGCGTATCTTGCTCGCCAGTCTGGCTGCAAGTGGCGTCGGCTTGAACCTGGTAGCTGCTGATACAGTTATACTTGTAGACTCTTGTAAGTTTACCTCACAGACGCTTTATCAAGTTCATTCTGCTAACTGCGAAACAGGGTGGGCACCGGCTATCGAGGATCAAGCCATCGACCGTGTGCATCGGCTCGGCCAAACACGCGAGTCGACGGTCTGGAAGCTGGTCATGGAGGATAGCGTGGAGGAACGCGTTCTCAACATCCAAGCAAAAAAACGGGAGCTAGTCAGTCTAGCTTTTCAAGACAAGGCCAGAGAACAAAAAGAAACAGGTCGCCTAGACGATGTTCGACAATTACTTTCGTAGGTACCTGTGCTTTCAGTTTCACCTGCGGTAGGATAAGTCAAGTCATTACATGGAACCGTAAATACCTAGGTACGTTTGGCAATAGTGGTGGAATGGAAAATAGATGGGCGAGTCAGATCTAGAGGATGCGCATTGCTGCAAAGCAGGATTGTTGCTTTGCTACTGTTTTGCTATTGTGCTACAGGGGCTTTGGTCTAGCTCAGCTATACGATAGATTCAGATTGGAGCCTAATAACTAGATCTATAGCTGAATTCAATCCAATTCCCTCATATCATAAAACCTAGATAGCTACTGTCAACAATCTCTATAGGCGAGGTTGAGTTAGGCTAAGAAATCGGGAGTAAATCTCGGAATGTGCAGTCTTAAATAGTTAACGTTACATAGCAAGGTAGGAAGGTAAATAAGATGATATACCGTAATAACGTACTTTTTCGCTGGCCAACCTGAGTAGCAGGCAGAACGGGCGGTGACCAGCAATCTAACGTACGGGCGAGTGATGAGTGATGTATGCACGATACCAAGGCAAATACGAGGTTGACTGCATATCACGAACCATAAGGTATCTTTGTATCGATTCCATACCAATCCACTAACAGCCGACGTCTTTACGACGCTTTTCTTCTTTTATTTCTTGCTTTGTATGTGTAACTAGCGAAACTCGTAGCAAAGTTGCGAAGCAAGCTGACTCAGACGGATAAATTAGATTTGCTTTTCTTATTTTCATCGTCGTACAGATGAGGAGAGTATGTTGTCGTCGTACATGTGTCCAATAATAAAGACTCCGCGTGGGTACGAGTAGAGGGTGGGCGGGTCATGTTTGTCGTCGGGTGCGAGGCGGCGTATGTAGGTGGCGCGACGAGCTCAGCTCTACCAACTTAGATAGAAGATGTATGTAGATACCCGTATGTGGAAGGGGGGATACTACATCGTACCTGACTGCGGGGAGCTATATCTCTGTCCCTATCCATTGCCTGAAGTTTCGAGAACGCTATGTATGTAACTACACTACATTATGTAGTCTACTATGTACATACAGGTCAGATCCAGTCCTACCGGGAGAAGCCGGGGGAGCATGGGTCAGGGTTAGTTACATCGACCGGAGTACGGGGTCTCGAGAGCCCCTTCGAGAACATCGGGTCATCATCCCAGAGGCCAGGCCATGCCATGCCATACGTTCTTATGTAGTGTATGTATTTCTACCTCTCCATGCGATGTCGCATAGGACTACTTGGGCTTTATTACATACGTAGTGTGTATGTATGCGAGGTGGTGAGGCTGACCTGACTTGACCTTACCTTACCTTACCTTACCCCTCGTCGAATATAACCCTGATGGTTAAAGCTAGGTTGGGTATGTACATACTTAGTCTCGCAAATTGCAACATCATGTTGCCATCATGTCATCCTTCTATTTGTTTCTTTTCTCAGCTTGAGCGGGGAATGCAATTCGGCTGAGCAGGTTTAGAAGCAACATTATTATAACAGGTATGCTATAGGCTATTACTATGTATGTTATATGACTGGTCAGTCTTAATACCTAAAATACCTTTCACCATTGGCTATTTTGGCGTTGCGGGAGATGCGGCATTGGCTGCCGAAGGAGAGCGATATATATAGGTAAGTTGGGCGATTCGTAGATGTCTGCGTGACCTCGTGATACCCCGTATCCGTAACCCGAAATGATTGTGTTAATGAGTGTGTTGAGAAGAGATTACACACTACATACAAACTCACCACTATACCTCAGGACCAGGTCAACTAGTCTTTACGACGCAGGATCGATCCCCACACTATGTCAAGATTACATACGATAGAGCCATAGCAGTGGCTTGCGACCATGTATATGCGGTCTATGGTCATATGAATAATTCAACCTGAATAAGGCGGGCAAACAAAAGCCGGTTAGGTGCCAAGGTAAGCCCAACTCATCGTGGTGTCTCGTTACGTCTCGTGAGAAGTTTTTTAAGGTTGTGTATATAAGAGTCACTTCATCGACCTCATGAAAGATCTCATCCTCGCCACGATCACTCATACATGCAACCTACTGCAATATATATATATATATATATTTAATAATCTACAATCACAAATATTAATCAATCAATTAACCACCATGTTCGCCATCACCGCCATCGTCTCCGTTCTGGCTCTCGCCGCTAACCAGGTCCTCGCCTTTCCCACTGAGCTATTTCCCCGCCAGGGTTACGTTGAGAACTGTACGTGATATCTGCTCGATACATTGCTCCCATGTTGCCTGGTTATAATACTTAAGTCGGTAACTAATATATCTCGCATCTCAGGCAAGACGACCTACTCCGTCGTATCTGGTGATACTTGCTTAGGTATCATCAGCAAGTTCAACAATGCCTTCACTTTGGACCAATTGTAGGTTTCTACCTAACATCTCTCCTCTTTTAATCACCCACTAACACCCCCCAAGCTACTCCATGAACCCCCAAGTCGCCAAAGACTGCTCAAACCTGTACCCTGGGGAACTAGTATGCGTCGCCCTCAAGGAATCCACCGAACCCGTGTGCCCAGCTCCCACATCCGACGATATCGCCCCCAACTGCAACGCATGCTACCACGTCGTCGAGGGTGACAACTGCTGGACCATCACCCAGGCAAAGAATATTTCCTTCAACGACTTCCGCAAGTGGAACCCCAGCATCGACGCCTCATGCTCTAACCTCCAGCTTGGCTACAACTACTGCATTGGCGTCAGTGCTTGAAGCTAAGCAATAGGGACAGTAGAGCATAGCTACAGTTTCGAGAGGAAGTCGAGCGAAGAGTTATGAGAAAAGAGCTTTGGAATGAGTGAATGGCTTTTACGACAATTTTATGAATAATGCTTTAGTTTAACAGTCTTTAATTTCAATAATTCTTACTTTGGGCCCAATATTATAAGAGCTTCTCTCTTAACTTCGCGTGAACCTGTCACATCAGAGATAGTCCAATAATAGTTTCGCTCATTTGGTAATGATATTTGTAGCTATCACCCTAGTTCAGTTGTGATATGAATACTACGCTAGCTATCTGTAAAGACCGTGATGTCAGAACATAGAGTAAAAGGTCCACGTTCGTCTCGCAAGTTGAGTTAAATAGGATGTAACCACGGTTATAACCGCAAACCCAAGATTTGAAGTAGAATCTCTCGTAATACATGAGAGTATTACCAGAGGCCAGGCAAGCCTAAGTCTAAGAAAGTAAATGGGGGACTCAGAGTTAGAAAACGATCAGGTCCGCCCCCAAGTATCATCCGCCATTTCACGTAGATCCTCTAAATTCTAGCCCAGCGTAGACTGACCGCAACCACGATAACGGGTAGCACGCTAACCAACTCGCCGAGTCCAGCGAACTCGGGCGGGATGCGCGCTTTCTTACCAGCATTTACGAATGCTCCGGCCGCGAGCAAGATCGCGAACACATTGTACACGAAGCTCCAGCCGAAGTTGAAGGTGACACGGCGTACGGCAGCTCGTGATACGTCTATCATGGCGAGCACGCCGCCGAGCGAGGGCCGCATCAGCACGACGTCAGCTGCTGACTGCGCCACATCTGTGCCCGAGTTGACATGCACGCCGATCGTAGCCTGGGCTAGAGCCACGGCGTCGTTTGTCCCGTCTCCCACGAATACGACCACTGGCTGCCTTTTATTGTCTGACACTTCCTGGTTTCCAAGAAGCTTTTGGATGTACGCCCGCTTGTCAGCTGGGGAACATCGAGATAGAGCGTTCTCTACGGGAATCCCTAGCGAAGAAGCTACGGCTTGGACAGCGCCGTCATCATCACCACTTAGCATCGACACGGTTATGTTTCGTCTCTTTAGCTCTGCAATAGTTAGTGCTGCATCCTGTCGGATAGTATCGGCCAACCCAAAAACAGCCTGGAGTTCCGACCCGATGGTTACGCAGAAGGCAGTATAGCCTTTTGATAGTACAGCTTGCACGCGGAGATCAGACTCAGTACCGAGCCAGCAGGAGTTGCCAGCCTGGATGCAAAGTCCGTCGATATAACCTTGTACCCCTTTACCAGGGAGGGACTTAACCTCACCGACCTTAGCAGCAATAACCTCCCGGCTTTTCAGGTGAGTTGTGATGGCGGACGAGACTGGGTGGTTAATGTCTGTCAACAAACCCAAGATCTTCGAGGTAACGGCATGTTGCGCTCCTAGCAGATACTCCTCGCTCACAACAGATAGCTTTCCTTCGGTCAACGTGCCAGTCTTGTCGAAAACGACGTGTGAGGCCTTGTAGGCGATTTCTATAGTCTCGCTTGCCTTGAAAACCAGTCCCTTCTCTGCGGCAACACCACACGCAATTACAATGACCATAGGAACTGCTAGACCAATAGCACATGGACATGAGACTATAAGTACTGTGATGGCGTATGTTATCGCCTGTGTCACAGCCTCGCTTCCTGATTTTCTTTGGCTGCGAATTCCCACGCCAACCCAAGCGATAAATGTAATTAAAGTCAAGGAAATAACTACGGGGACAAAGTATGAAGCGATCCGGTCAGCGAGGTCCTGGATCTTGGGTTTTGAGAGCTTGGCATCATCGACCATTGCAGCAATGGTGCTGATGGTATTCTGCCCCGGTAATTTCGTAAGGCGTACTGTAACGGTTCCATTGCCATTCAGTGACCCAGCAAGAATCGTAGACCCCGGCTTCTTCTCAATGAGGCGTGATTCACCTGTTAGCATTGATTCATCTACCTCCGTTGCACCAGAGACAATGACACCGTCCGTAGGCGCCTGAGTATGAGGAATGACCTTGAATACGTCGCCATACTGAAGCAGTCTAGTGTCAATGTCGATTTCGGCGCCCCCATCCGAAATTAGAATCGCAGTAGAAGCTTGTAAAGACCGGATAGAAATGCTCTCGACGGCTTTCTGACGAGCAAGGGCGCTGACCCACCGCCCTACCATAATCAGGGTGACTAACAAGGTACTTGTTTCAAAGAAGTTACCCGTCGAGAATGGTTGACCGCTAGCCAGATAGCCGAATGAAACGACCGAAAATATGTATGCCGCAGTGGTACTCAAGACTATCAACAGATCCATTTCGACCACTTTGGAAAACACTAAACTTTTTAGAGCCTTCGGGTAGAATGGACCTGCGATGAAGATCTGAACAATAGTCGCTAGGCCTAGGGAAACACTGCTATATACGACCGGACGCTCTTCCAACGGGGCCCATGCTAACACCAACACAGGTATAGTGAGAAGTGCCGAAGCCACGGTCGTCCAGCCCATATGTCGAACATGCTTACTTCCCGCAGCAATTGATGGGTCAGCCTGCGGAGGGGCGAGAGTAACCGGAGTCTGAAACCCTTTATTAATCAGGTCGCGGGCCCCAATGGCCTCTGGCTCGAACGTAATACGAACAGTGCGCTCATCGACGAGATCTACGTTTTCTACGCCTAGAGGCATGGGCTGCTGGATAAATTGTTTGGCTCCTCCGATAGGAATAATGTCCAGCGTCGAACCGTGGGTTGCCATCCTCTCGCACTTGAACTCGGTCGTTCTCTCGATATGCTTGACAATATCCTCTGGCGTGGCTAAACTGAAGTCTAGTTGAAATTCAACTCTGGCCATAACGAGGCTCGTCTTGAGATTCTTCACAGCATCAACTCTGCCCAACGTTTGCCGTAGCTTAGTCTCGCAGCCCGTACATGTCATTCCGGTGACATTGAGAACGACACGCTCGGAACCGGAGAGCCCTTTCTCAAGGTCAGTGGTCGCAGCATCTTGACTCCCGTTCGTCCTTAGAGTATGTTCGATAATGATGTTTTTATCTTGCTGACAACAACTTCCTTTAGGACTTAGACTTTTAGAGCAACAGCTAGATTCTTTAGCAGGTTCGGTTGTGGAAGAATCCGCTGCTCCCTTACAGCAACCCTTGTTACAAGATGTACCGCCTCGAGTTTTCGACGCTGTGGGTTTACGCATCGGGGACTTCGAACAACAATTTTCCACTGCTTTTGGCTTGCAAGTTGGGGCCTGTTTCTCCTGGGACTTAGGACGAGCAGTTCTCTTAGGTCCGCGCTTCCTTTCCTCCGAGGGAACGTCACGAGCTGCACAACATGATTCTTGACCTAGAGCGATGAGTGCTCGGCACAGACACCCGAGGGCCGCGAGTCTGATTTCATATTTCTCGCGAATTGACTCCTCTTTAGCAGGGGATGGGCTGCAGCTAGAGGTTGAAGCTGCACCATCACCTAAAGTTGGGTCAAAATGTATTGCTCAGGAGAAGGGTTGGCTACACTGACCTTGCCCCCTTTCGATAGCAGTCTCTCGGATTACGAGTCGGTCGATACATGTTGCTTAGCAGCATTAGTTAATTCTTTTAAATTTTTTTTTTGCTAATCTGACCTGATGCAATTCCAAAAAGACTTACTGTCGCAGCATGGCCTCTGTTTGCCCTCGCAGCAAGATGGCTCAACCGTGTCGGGCTTCGTAGTCGAACAGCAGGTGTCTTTGTAGGTATCCCGTGGAAGACCGTCTGGTGGTCCATTATAAGTATTATCGACTTCTTCCTCGGCATCGCAACAGGAATCTTGACAGCATTCATTGATGGCGGCTTCTACAGGTTTGCAGCAACTGTCCTCGATGCCTTGTTCGGCTTTAGAAGCGCAGCAACTAGTTGAGCTTGCGGGGGCCGTATTTGCTGCTTTCGGTACACAGCAGTCATCAACCCTTTCCTTGGGTTTGCAACAGGTATCTCGGCAACTATCGAGGGAATTTGGCTTTTCAGGCTTGCAGCAATCGTCGTCGGGCTCAGAAGCACCGCCGGGAGTTTCACAGGCGACGGAGCTGCAGTCCTTACTTTTTGGAACCTGCGGCTTACAGCAATCATTCACTTCTTCAGCTTCCACCTTCCTGTTGCCACTGCAGCACCCCGAGCTACAACCAACGTCTCTCACCTTTGGAGGCGGCGGGGGAAGAGCGCTGCAACAACCAGTCGTGCAGCCTTTCTTCTTTGATTCGCTCATTTTGCTCGTCTTCACATTGATAACTTAGGTAAAGGGAAATACTTGGAAGAGATGCTGAATTGATGTTGTATGTGCTTTATTGGCGGTGAGACAAGGATGAAAGAGAAAGAAAAACGTATTCTGAAGATAACCAGGTTACAAACATCCGATTGTCGCTTGCGTGCTTCGGCAGTAGCGAGGGGTAGCGGAGCACGGGGTGTACCGCCGGCAAGTTCTGACCTTCTTCCCCTTGCCGGAAAGCAGGCAACTTTATCGTTGATTACTACATACGGCGGAAGGAGATATGCATCGGTTTGCCTGGTATAGCAGTTACCTGTGGGGTGGGCTATAGTAGGGAGTTGGTTTAGGGGTTCCTGGCAGCACTACCCTCCGAAATCGGCTGTTTTCAGCTGCCAGTTGGCTTAGCAGCTGCAAACACTTTGGTCACTTATTCCGTGTCATTTGCTCGCAGCTGAGCAGTCAATTCACTTCCTCGGTTCACAAATGTCACAGAATGAGATTTGGTTCATATGAATGTGATGTTGATATATGAGCATTGAGATGAAACTCATTTAAAATATTGTCCTTAAATAAAAGCTAAGTGTATATATATTCACATGAGCTTAAGCCAACTCTTAAATAAATATAATTTCACTCATCATGAGAAGCGAGGTTTTGCATTTCACACCAAATTTTGTCAACTATTGTTAACTTGTAAACATCGTCAACTTTTGCCACAACAGGCTTCAATAAATCTGAAACATGCTTTATCCACAGACTAAAATAGAACCCCTTAAACTTACAAAATTCAAGTTTGTTTACCGTTTCGATTCATATTTCAAACAGTAAAACACAAAGCATCCCGATCGAAGTATCTACAAGTACTCGGCACAACAACAAATGTAGTTACTTAAGAAAGGCGGCGTCGCCGTTTCAATAGTTCAATCCTCCAACATCAATAACTATGACTTATACCTCTCACACAGTAATCATGAGGTAGTTTCATCCTTCTCTCGTGATCTTATGCGTACATTTAACCTCCCTCACACTCGTAGTCTGACGAGCCCACGATGACAATGACACCCAAGTATGAAATATTGAAGTCCATGGCATGACGAAGCATTAGTGTTCATTTCAATTTGGCACTGTAGGCCATGAATGGCTAATCTCATATGCAAATGCAAGGCTGCCGGCAGTCCAATCCGCCGCATTAGACGCGACCACAGTACGAGCTCGAAAGGAACCGCCCTACAAGTCCACCGTAGCACGGCTAGGTGTCATCCAGGACGACCGCGGGGTCTGCAAAACCTGTAGCATCGATCGCCCCAAACGGCGTCGTTTCTTTAACATGCGGTGTGATTCGAGGCGTGTGCTGCATGCGCAACCACAAGCGCTGTCCAGACGAACAAGCGGGGACCGTTGTATGTATGTAATGCCATTACAAAATTGCCTTTCGACCGAACCCTACCTCACCTCACCTGTCTAGCCCAAGGTGAGCGAGCCGTTGATTTAGGTGTGTGTGGGAGAGAGGCAAAAAACAAAAAGAGGCTATCGTAATATCATCATCCCATATTTAAGTCATCATCGCCGTTCAGATCTCTCGTCATCTCGGGGTTCAAGTTACACTACGCCCACCCAAGCGCACGCGCGGTGTCCCAAAAGGATCTACCCAACTTACTAACACTAACTTAGATGGGTGAAGTTAGGGTTAGCTGGAAATGGTCATCCGGCAGTTGGATGCGAGACAAGCTGGAGAAGGGTTACGCTCGACGGGCTGAAAGGGGGCATGATCGGCAATATAGGATTGAGTCTGATGTAAGTTCGGTATTTCGCAATAGTTATTCAGGTTAGGCGCCAGTAAGCCCATATACTAAGGGCGCATATAGCCAGCGGGAGGCTTAATAGGTATAGTTACCACTGTGGCGGGACCAATGGGGGTTTGTCGTCATTCGACTATTTCTAGTTTGGCGGTTATAAGATGCAAGTCTAAGTCAAGGGTTCTTGTCAGCACTTTACTCTCCTGATGAATCACAGCCACATTTAGATATCGATCTGGGATATACTATGTAGTTAGCGGTGGAATTTGCTAAGCCAGTTGGAAAAGACACATCACGATTGAGAGCGACGGTGAGGGTTGTGATGAAAGAAGCATTCAAGGCTCTAAATCATCCCAAGCTTATATTTTCTGCTCGTTTGTAGGTAAATATAATGTAAATAGCCGGCTGTCCCACTCTCCTATCGCCCCTTTTTGAGAAGTATTCGAAATAAGCAGTAGCCCTCAGCAATGATTTCCTCTCCGCCATATATATATAGCAACAATAAGTAGTATCTAGACAACAGCCCCCATCGTACGCCAGCTCGCGACGGTATCCCACATCGCCTTGCTCCCGGTAAATCATTGCTCCTCGAGACGCCCCGTGAAATTAAAAATCCTAATAGGGTATTGTCTACCTACGCGTTGATCAAGACCCATCTTGGGTATGTCAGTCAAGCGAAAGACGAACAGTAATCCGGACCGTCTCTCCTTCTCCTCTCCGGTCTGTTCCCCTTCCCACCCCGGGGTATCAGTTGTATTGCCAAATCCAAGCCCAACGCATTAACCGTGGTCATTACATTAAAAAAAGAAACTGTTTGGAGTACACCGTTTGGAAGTTCTACTAGTAGAACCTCATTGCCTATAAGGATAAATGCAAATGCTGATAATTTGACAACTAGACGAGTGACGTAGAACATTGGTGGTACACAGGACCTCTGTCGTACGAGGTTGGTCACTGAAGTTTGGCTCGGTGAGTGAAGCTCCAAGACGCTTGGAACTCCATCGGGTATAAAGGTGTTAGGTAATGTTGGTGAATTCTAGTATAGTTGATTCGGTATGAAAAACAATTCACTTCTCCTGATGACTAGTATAGTCTTGAGGTGTCATGTTCTGAGTGAACTGGATTAACCTTGACCTAGACTGGTTGGGAGAAGCCTTTGAGTTGACGGATTCATTAGCATCCCAGTCAAACTGCGTGTTCCCTGCCGCATGCTGAGCGTATGCATTCTGCTCTTGTATAGAACCCATCATATTCGGATACATGGGGGTCGCGGGGGGACCATCGCTCAGCTCGGCGTAGCAAGGAACATTATGTATGTTAAGGTCGGGAAACTCGGTCTCAAAAGGCGTGAAAATTGGCTGGTCGGAGGGGAAGTTCATGCCGTGATTGAATATATTACCGTGATAGTTCTGATTGCCGAATTGAGCTAATACGCCTGGAGTGTCTGGTGGGGTCTTGAGGTTAGACTCGCTGACAGGAAGGTTGTTACCCAATGCGTACTGGTACTCGGGGCGTCGGGTTTCCCGAATTTCGTGCTTGTCAACAACAGCAGGAGTCATCGGAGTTGGAGGAGCGGCCCCGGGAAACATCGAAGATACCGATATTACTGGAGAACGACTCTGGAATTGCATTATTAAGGCCTCGGCATTACGGTTTACGAACAAGGGTGAACGTGATCCTGAACTGGGCTTCTGAATTCTCCCATGGTTGCCAGTGCCAGAAGCGATCCGTCGTATTGCTGAGCCAGGGCTCGAAGGATCTAGTTGCATTTTAGGCGTATAGCCAAGATTGTACGAGCGGCTTCTGAGCGAAGAAGTTTGCAGAGTTGCTGGCCGAGGGATGTTTCGGCGGGAAGCAATATTAGCGGGAGGCGGGGGCGACTTGAAAGAGTCGGTAGGAGTTGGTATTCCTTGAGGCATTAACGGAGAAGTGCGTCTCTCACTCATAGGTATGCTTTCATCGTAGTCCCGTAACGATTCCATGGCATTGCTGGCTAGTCCGGGTGTGGTGAAGATTGGCTGCGATTGGGTAAATGGTGTTACAGTTGGGGTTAAGTCTGCTTCTAGCATTGCAGGATACTGTTGACCAGAGTGCTCAGCACTAGCACATTGCTCATTAGGCGACGGCAGGCTATTAGCCAAGCTTGTAAGTTGCTCACTTCGGCCAGAATACTCGACGTTGCAAGCAGTAAAGTCTGTCATGGGTGAGGAATGATGGTAGTTTTGAGGGGGATTGGTATGAGTGAAACCGGCCACATCAGAATGCGAAAAATCGAATGGTAGTGGAGACTGGAAGCTACCAGGGGTATTGCCTTGAAGGCTGACAGATGGATCCTGTCCAGAAGGCGAATCGATAGTGTCGGGTGAGCCATCTTCAGTGTCGGAGTCGTCGGAGTCGTCTTCAATCTTCAGAGAAATCGAGTTGGCGTCAGGGAAAAGCGCGGAAGATGGTTGTACACGCTGTCGGGCACTGTCGCCTGTCTGGTCTGATGAGCTGCGTTGTGGGCTTGCATCGGGCGAGTCTGGCTCGGAGCTAGCCTTCTCTTTCGCTCTTTGCTCCTCATACTCTTGCTGCTTTCTCTCTTGCTTTGCCTTAGCACGCCTGTTTTGAAACCAATTCTACCAGTACCAATTAGTAATATGAACCAGAAGACGTAGCGATATATCAAATACATTAATTCTTGGTCTCTCCAAACCAAGTGAATCGGCCAGTTGCGCCTTAACCGAGCTTGAAGGCTTAGAGTTTTCTCTGAATACCTTCTCGAGTTTCTCGACCTCTTCTTTAGATAACCGTGGCTTGGATTCCGCTTTAGGATCAGCCAATACACCTCGATCGGCGATGAGATGGTTCCGAGGCGGTTGGTAGCCATACATATACTGAAACCCAGGGTAGCCAGTATTATGGTATGGGTTATCGTTATATTGCATAGTGTTTCCCTGGGGGAAGCTATAGACCGGATGAAATTCCGGATGAGCGTGATAATGCATTTTATATCTGTCTTGGGTAGTCACCGGATAGCCAGACTGGGCTTAGTAATTAAACATGTGAAAATAATCGAAACTGAAGGAAAGTAGTTCGGATCTGTTGTCGATTCTAACTCTGCTGATTATGAAAAGTTGCAGTCGCAATATTAGACGTAAGGTCGCTGCCCTGTGAAAGGGAGGTAATGATATAGATATATATACTATGAGGCCTTGCCAAAAGTTGAATTTTTGTCTATAAGGAATGACTGGGGGTTAGATATCTGGACTGAGCGGTCCAAAAGATTGTTGGTGAACGGACGTGGTGGTGGTAAACTGATCCCAAGCACAACAGATAACCAGCTAGGACGACGGGGCTGAGGCGGTATAAGAGCAAACAAGAGGCCAGATGGTAGAGGACGGTAACCAAGTCAGAGTGAGACAAAGCTCACCTTGAACCCCCGAGTTCTCTTGAGACTAGAGACAAGCTGGGTCGGGATGGAACAAAAAACAACACAGAAGAGCTAGAGAGCGGGAAGGGAGAGAGGGGGGTGGGCGTGTAGTGAAGTAGTTGTAGTAGTAGGCTGTGGGTCTTCCTGGACCTTGCACGACCAGCGAACCGGGAGGTGTGTAGGTACTTCCGCGGTACTACCACGAAATTGGGTGGAGGTGAGCGAGGATTCGACAAGAGGCGGGTGACACTGGTCGGCGACAGGGTACCTGAATGTACATCTGGAACTTCCCTGGTACCTACTTACATCCACTTTAACTCGAATTGTTGTTTATTCATCAGATCTGGTGTTTAGTGCCTACCCGTACCGCAGGCATGGAGCCTTTTCTCGTGAGCAAAGCAGGGTTAGACCTCAAGCGCTGACTTGGCCGGCGGGCCTAGGCTGTTTGGTGTCATTGGGGCCAAACCATGCCACCACCACCACCAGCTCATAAGTCAAGCGTTTCTCGCGACCGTCAGACCCCGAGGGTATGCTCTGGGACGCGCCAGAGGAAAGCCAGAGTGGACGAAGGGCTGGGTAGGAGGAGGGCCACAGCTGCGCATACATACATACATACATACATACATATACACATACATACGTTAGGTACCTAGTTAGCTAGCTCATTGCTGCGCGTCACTGGGGCCAATGGGGAAGTGAGTCGGTACGAATTACATCGATCGCACATACAGATTACATAGGAGGGACGCGGGCAAAGACGAAGGTCCCCTCCCCGATCTTGTTCCCAGCTATCCAGCTACGTGATCCCTACCTAGGAACCTAGGAGAAAGTGAGGGTTAGGCAACGTGTGGTGGGAGGGAGAACCAGCGAAGACTTGTTATCAGATGTCCACAGTACAATGTGTCGTGCTCAGCTTGGGTATGTGCAATGTACATACTAATACCCATTGGAGTATTTGAGATCCCACCACGCTACCTAAGACGAGCCCAAGCAGGCTAGCCCCTGTCTTGGCTTCCCTGCTTCTACATACATAGATATGGACAGGACATCTTAGTTACAAAAGCCAGGGGGGGGGCCGTAAATATCATGATGGAAGCGTATGAGATGCCCTGAACAAGGAGATTCAAACGTTCAAGCCTTACTTGAAAATGCGGGGAGAAGGGAAGCAGTTAAGCTAAAGCAGGTACCAAGTTTTAAAGAGAAACTATTATGCCCCCTCAAGATCAAGGGCGAAAACGTAGACTAAGCAAACTATAGGGACGAGACTAGATGAGGAGTTGCTCAGAGAGAAAGGGATGGCTGAATTTAGGAGTTTGGGATTTTGGGATTTTTTTTTGCCCTAGTTGCGTAAAATCCTAAAAGGGGCAGAAGGCTTTTGCTGCTCGTTGTTGGCTATGGCTAAGCTAAGCTAAAGCAATTCAACCTTTTCTATATTTTCAACATTTAGCGGAATATCACAGTGCGATTTAATATTGTAACGATGTCGGAGTCTTGGCATCCCGTCCAACCTAGCCCTGTATAAGTGTAATTGTTGTAACTGTAATTGTAATTGAAATTGTCATGTGAGGTCCGTTTTGTCTTCCGTTGGCGCCGTTGTTAATCTTACGATGATGATGACAACGGTAGAAAATAATCATGTTTACTAAATGTAGGTACATATGTATTCAATTGAATCATGGGTATCAAGACGGTCTCTACGTCATCTAAGATATCTATCTCTAAGATATAGTTATGTTTATTCCCGAACTCAGACCACGATTGCGGACTTGCTGTCGCTTATTACTGACACGCAGTCAGATATAATTAGGTAGGTACGTAGCAGGGGAATAACTTAGGTTAGATATCTTTTTAATATCCTACGATGCAAGCGATTTTCTGTGGCTGAATAAACTTCGCATATCCTCGACGCTGCGATAATATTGGTAAAGAAATGTCAGGTACCTATTTCTATTAAAAGTGTCACTCTGAGAGAACGGTGTCAACTGACTTAGATGTCTAAGACCTTGGCGAATTAGTAATTTACAGCAGGGAAACATAATTCATAATTGTTACTATTTGAGGTAATCTTAAGTCGTCCACCCTCCTTAGCATTAAGGAGGTAGTAATAAGCATAATACTATAGTACCGTATCCATAATTCAATGATGACTGTATTAATCCAAGCCGACAATGCTGTTGAAGACAGTAACCGAAAAGAAAAGTAGATGTAAACGCTTAGTTACGAGCTAATATAGTAACTGTGTAGTAGTTATCTCATACATCATCGTGTTGTTGGTGTTCATTTTTCCTTTCCCCATCATTTTTTCTTTTTCTTTTTTTCCAATTTTTTTCCCAGCAGTTCCTGGATGTGCTCACCTTTACTGTGGGGACTTGCCCGGATTCGCTCAAAAACCCCTGAGACCTTGACAGGAGCTCTAGCCAAAAAGGAAATCTCTTGAGTCAAGTCTCGAATAAGCCTTTCCAAAACGGGACATAGTGCCCACCCGTCCCAAAGTTGTAGTTTTAAGGTACCCATAGAATGGGCATCCATGATCACTGATGGGCAGCATGGTATCCCCGGATCTAGGTACCAAGGTACTTCTCATTGACAAGCAGCGGTCACAACCTTGAAACTTATTTTTTCTTTCTCCCTTTTCGCTTACTCTAATTGATCTGCACTCACTTAATAGACCCCCAATCTACCAGGTTACCATCAGCCCTGACAGACCTCGGGGCTTATTACTTCACCTACCGAGCTTGACGCCAATATATCCGAATCATAGGTGAACTGATATTTTTCCCTGAGTGTAAAGATGGCGCCAGCGCTTTGATCAAATAGAGATCACGGGATACCTCTACATAGTCTCGCGCCTCATGATGTCTTCGATCTCTCTTGGGGAGCTTCAAGTAAAATAAATGCGGCGTTATTCGCCGACTCTAACCACCTCGGTACTTTCAGATTTGAGAGGCTAGTACTTACCTAATACGACATTAGTGATATTTTCATCCCTCTCATTAGAAGTTAGACATCAAGACTTGTTACCGACTTCGTCCTCAAGCAACAAGATGTCCGCTGCTAAGAACTCTACCCTCTTTTCTGCTAGTTAATCAAGCCTTCCGGCCGCATTCGGCCTCGCAATTTCGAAAGGTCACTAGCCGGGTCTCTCTACTGCACCTCTATCATGCACGTTTAGCATCGGCGCAAATGTCATCTTGTCGATGTCCGTGTTCCCGCGCAACGAAAAAGAAAGGATGTCAGTGTTTGACAAGTACCTGACTAAATATCGTAGGCAACCCATGATAGGGCGCCCGATCCCACCATGATGCAGAGTGATTCAACCTAGCAGAGAGCAAGTTTCGCTCACATGAGGACTTACTTCGGTTTCGAGCTTACCGGAGATGCTTTTCAGGCGCATTGTAGCTTGGCTATTCCCGCTTCGTAACTAGACATTCGCACCTCGCAGGCTAGAGTTACATTACTTAGAGCTAGGCTCTACTATTTCTGGACAGTTCACGATTACTAGATGTGCCTACCCGCTTTCTGCGATGTGAGCAAAAGCCGAAGCCGGATAGTGTGAGATGATTGGCTCCTGACTAGCAATTTGTCCTTCGGATCCTCACAAGGGCGTTCAGCATTATGGATCTAACGTAGTTTACACAGTATGGACATACATTCAACCTCATATCCAAATTCGAGGCCCAGCAGCTCGGTACCGATGGGAGATGGCAGTTTATGGCGTGATAAGCGGGATGAAAACATCCTGCGGTTCAGCTTAGAGTTAATCTACTGGATTTTTATCTGTTTATTTATTTTATATCCGTCTCCTTCGCCCTAGTCTACTCCTCAACGTCTTTTTCCCGCTGCCCTGCTTAGGTATGCTCGACTAAGAAGCACCGCCGTACCGAATAGATTAGGGCTACCTACATATGTGTACCTCTCCGAGGGGCGCCTAAAAAACCTATAAGGTGGTACCTATATATTTACTTTTGTAAAAAGATGCCTCTGTGCTGACCCCTTTGTCTTCTTTTGTATTG